GACTCGGTGAACAAGCACTTCACTTTCTCTGCTTTGCACCCATTTCAGTCTGCTTGGCATGATGTCGAAGAAGCTTCTTTCCCAGGATTGTTGTGAAGCAGACTTTATGGTTGTTGAGCTCAGAATTGCTATCCCTGGCTCACTTTGACGTGCTCCAATCATAATTGCACTGAAGGAGAGACTTTGCAAAAGCAGGACTAAGTAAAGTAAGGATAATGTCGTGTTTCAATCCTAACAGCGGGAATCTTTCTCAATGGACTGTGAGGAGATGCAGTGGAATGAAATGCCAACAACGCCATTGAAATGCTTCGGAGAACACAGGCACCTTCTGATGTGATCAGCTGCAGGCAATATCCAGTGACAAGGTCTGATCATATGGAATTAACTGATGCACCACCATCTTGCTGAAGAAAGTACAAGACAAAATAGATACGAAGACATTCTTTTAATATTCCTATCTGTTTTTACTATACAATGTAATATTCTAGAAGTTTTTTTTTTCCTGAAGCGGTTAGTGTTTTGCCTTTTAAGTCTTAGGAAAAACACATCTAGTAATGTATTGCACATCTTGCTCTGACTTCTCCTTGCCTCCAAAATGGAGCTATTGTTTTAAATGTCTGTGTAAGATATGTTCTGAAAGTTAATGAGCGCCAGATAGCTTGAGGCACTTTTAGGTCTCCTGTGAAGCATCTGTGATTCTCATCCCAGGCCCCAGAGGTTATCTGTTCAATAGCTGTGTGTCTTATTTTCAGAAATAGGTAGAGACTGCACAGACTATGTCAGGTATTTATTGCACAGCAAATTAAAAAGTAGTGCAAGGTTTGTACTAAGAGTTACATTAGGGTTCTCTCCAGAAACCAGTATGGAGAAAACATAATTATCACCAATTTTTAAAATGTTTTTGTCAAAAAAAGAATACATTATAATTGATAGATGAGTTTCAATTAATCTCTTAACGCATTTAAAAAGCACCCTCATTCTTAAATTTGAAGATGAAAGCATTGCAGACATGATCTGATTAAATCACAGGTATTGTACTTTACTGGATCTTAACTGACATGCTCTGTAATCTGCAGGGTGCTTCCTTTTTTCTGAAAGAAGCATGTATTTCTGTAAAACTGTTTCACACTGATTCTTACATGATAGGAAATTATAATCCATTAAAGGGAACCTGCATGAATTTTAAGAGGTTCCGTGTTTAATAAAAAAAAAACAGTTACAGAATTTATGGTTACTGAATTCATTTCAGGTTTCAGCACTGTTGTAGAAGTTGAAGATGTTTCAAGTACCCAGCTGGGTCCAGGATGTGTTTAAATTCCCAGCTGAGTACAGAGGCTGTATAAATTCTAGAAACATCCATCAGATTACATCATGTAGTAATGGCGTCTTCGCAAGCCAGCTTCCTTTTGAAGATTCACAGATATTCGTAATGTTCTGCTATTGTGTGGCAGCCAGCAGAGTCAATCTCCTACTTCCAGTCTATGTGCTACAGCTAAATACCAAACAAAAGTAACAGAATGGGCTTTTACAGGCTTGTAGGCTTTTACAGTAAATAAATAACTGTGTATAAATGTATAGTAAAACAAACCCAGAGGTCCGCAAATAAAGGGGATACAATAAACATGTAAGAAGAATCTTGCTTCAAACTTTATGTGTAAGATTATAGATTTATGATAATTAAGTATTAACTCATTAACTCATTGTTTCAGTCCTGGGAGTAGGTCAAGGGAAATGTTCAGCTTCTCTGTTTTCTGTCATCCTTGCTGTAACTCATGGCGACTTTCACTTCAATACACCAAAAGGGTGCTATGAGGAACGTCTGACTGGGCTATTGTGTCTGTGCAATCTGCTGCTCCCTTTTTATAGCCACTAATTATACACCCTCAAACAAGCAAAAAAAAACTAGACTAATTATAGCGTATGAAAATGCATAAGACAAAAGACCTAAGAGGTCTGAGTCAAACAGAAAGAAAAGCAAATTAAAATAATTGTCGAAATTTTAAGCCGTGTGCCGAGAAAGGCCATGTTCCACATATCCCACTTTTTAAATAATTTTTTCTCCGATCCTCTCCAGACAGACACGCTTGTATCGGTGTTCCTCTCACCTTTAATAAGCATTGTTTGCATTGAACGGATCTGATCTGCTGGCCTTGCCAGGTTCTTGTGATTTATTTCTTGTTGGGTTTGTCACTTTCTATAATGTTGAAAAGGCTGTGCAATGGCGCATCTCAAAAGCTTTCTGACAGGAGATGCAGTACTGCCCTGTGCAGGGCCACACACACAATTAATTTGCTGCCCTGACAATGGCGTGGAGTGGAGATCTCAATACTGTTCTATGAGTGGCAGCAGGGAGCGATTCTGAGTTTCACCAGAGTGGGTGTCTCAAGCACCTCATTACAATCAGCTAAGCCCAGAGGAAATATATTGGGATGTGCTGCTTTGTCTAATTATCAGCCACACGAGCTGAGTGCCTGTAAACATCAGCCGTTCGTATTGTCTTGTGTGATATTTAGTTTCTGTTCTTCCCTTCGTGGAAACGATATGCCAAGAATGTCAGGCACTGCAAATCTGTGAACCTTCACCCGGTGGCCCTGCAAAATCTAAAAGGTAACTTCTTTACCAAACTGGAGTAGTATTCCTGTTGTTTTTTTTGGGGATTTTAAGCATGTTTTTTCCTTGCGAAATCCCTTGCTCTCACCTACAGAAATTCATTGATTTCCAGGAGTACACAAAGGCTTTGATTTGTGAGCAGTTCAGCTGTCCAGAGTCATTCCTTCCCTTTCTCTGTAGGCACTGAATCATCTCATGATGAAAACCCTGATCTCTGACATTTCAGAGGAGTTTTTTTTTTGTTTAAATACCAGTTCAGTGTTAAAATTACTCAACCACAACACAGGAAAATGTTTAAACTAGCATTGACCGGGATAGACTTAGTGCTAAATGTCTGCAGAACAAAACAACTACAAAGTTCATCCCTTGGCAGTTGTTTTTTACAGATTTGGTTCACAGCTTACAGAGCTGATCCTCACCTGCAACAGGGAAATGCCTGTTTCTTCAGGAAAATTATATGCATAGGAGGAAAGGAAGATTGCATAAATTTAGCCAAACCAGAACAGATGTACATCGGCACTGATGCCACACGAGCTCATCCGCTCAGACTGTAAAGATAACGAATGCTGGCAAATGGAAGACATTACAAGTCCCATCACTAATCCTCAGTTTGGGAGAGATGTCAGGGCAGATATCCAACAAACTCTGGCAACAGCAGGTGGCAGGTGATACACACTAACTGCACTGGGCTGCAGCAGAAGACTAATCTTTCTTCAAAAGCGTCTTATTTACTTTTCTTTGAATCCATCATGTTTCCTGAATCTGTATAGTTACAGTATACACACTCTCTTATGTTATCTGAGTGTGTTTAAAAATCTATTATCATTAATGTGCACAAAAAAGATATTGGCCTGAAAGGCAATTAATGAATACAACATTAATCAGAACACAATCTAAGGATTAAGACAACACATTTTTCTAATTCTGCATCAAGTACACTGTACACATCTACAACACTGTGACCTTTAAAAACATTTACAAACTAACAAGGGCCACAATAGTGTATTGTTACTTCACCTGGTCTTCAATTAAGTAAGGTGTGAGGTCATGAATTATCAGACCCTTTCCACATCCTCTGTTTATTTCTGCACAAATCTCATTGAGAAAGTAGTCTCGGAGTAGTTGTGGTAATAGTATCATTTTCAAAGTGCTATTAACCATTACACCAATTATTTCAGTGGCCCATCCTGTTATAGAAACAACATTACTGGCACCTACAGGTACACAATCCATCCTGCTGTATAAATACAATGGTAATGTAAAATGCCCCCCACATAAATTTGGCAGCCATGATGTACCACTTAAATGTTTTGCCATTTTTTTTGTCAGAAGTGTCATTTTGACTGTAGATACAGTATGCTATCTAAAGATGTGCCTCTCCACACCACTTCTGGTCGTCTGCACAAGAGAATGAAATTGTGCAGCCACTGGCGAAACCTGCAGACTCTGGGAATGTACTGATTGTTCAAACAATTTATCACATAATAAGTACAGCTTAACGTTTCTGAAATGTCTTCAATTATTAAAGATGTAAAGCTTTCTGATGAACCTGTATGCCTTCGTCTGCCCATACTAGGACTGCAGATGCCTTGTCACAGAGCACAACAGAAAATATCAGTGCAGAAATACAGCTCATGCCTCAGTTCTCAATTGATATCTTTTTAATGCCTAATCTAAAAGGAATTAAGAAACCTACTGTGAAGAAAAACAAATAATGTAATAATAATAAAGTGCTAAGTGAAAATAAGCATGAGGCGAGCAGTTTAGGGAACTATTCACGTACAATTAACACCTTGAGCTGTTTGATCTCGGCCTAATTATAGCAGCGACCCTTTATAGACAGGGAAAGCAACATGCGTGTCTGCTTGTATTGATCAGGTTAGAGATCTGCTGTTGTCTCAAAATACACCAAGGAACGGAGAGATGATGATAACTCACTGTGCTACAATATGAAACAGGCACAACAATAAAGCGAGCGCAATTTATTAGCAGTCCTCTTCGTGCAGCAAACAAAACCTAGAACCAATCCAGACCGAATCATTTTTTGCTTTCTTTTTCTTTTCCGGTCCCCGGCGCTTTAACTGTGGTTGAAGTGCGACCAGACGAATATCGCAGCCTGTAAATTGCTCAGACCGATGCAAATGATTCAGCTCAATTAAATTGTCCCAGATGTCTATAACCTTTAATATATGAGCCACGGACCACGCTGTTATTGTTTTCTACAAGAGTAAATAGCCACTGGAAGGAAAACAAACAGTAGCCACCAACATTCTGAAATATGCAAGAACCAAAAATAATACGCAAGAGTTTGGTTAAAGGTCTACTTGAACGTTTTGAGAATGTTGAAATGCATCAGGTTTAAAAATATAGACTCTTAAAATGATTCTTACTGAGAAGTTGCTTCTGGGAGTCTGTGATGTTTAGGTTTTCATTTCCAAATGGGTTTACGAACGGCAAGCAGTTGCTTTTTACTGTAAAAAAAATAAATTTAAAACGAAATATTAATTAACAGTCCCATGACTCAGTCGGATAAATATTAAGTTTTAATTATGCAATAGGTAAATCGTTATGAAAATAACTTACAATTGCAAGTTCTCCATAGTCCGGAATGAGAGCTGAGATGAGCTGAAGAGTTGTGGTCCCACTTCGACGCATCAATTATGTACCAAAAATCAGTTCCTATAGCAACAACCAGAAACACAAAGCTCAGGACACCGACGAGAGCCACAAAAATCGCCAGAGCGCTTAGTGTAAGCTTCATCCTGGCTGGGACGAGTAGAGGAAAGAGGACTTTTCACATTTTAGCTCCCGTAGAAAGATTACTGGAAGGAAACCCAGGAGGTATCTGGTCCAGATGTGGACTGGCGTCTACTGGCCGCTGTGGGTCTGCAGCACAATCCCTTGTAGCGAGGACTGTTGGCAGTAGGTGGCACATTTTTAGGTCTTGATGTAGTCATGCATTCCAGTATCCTATTCGTTTAAAATCCTGTTGTGATATGTATTTAAATCATAGGTGATGGCGGCTTTAAATTGCAAATGGCTTTGTGGCGCTGTGCACAGAGCTCGCCAATGAGTTTTCTTTTTACACATAGCTCTTTTGTTCAAAAGCGATTATAGTCCAGGAATAGGACCAGTGTAGGCGAATTATTTTGTATTCGTTTTCGAATCTGAAATCCGCTGCCCGTAGTATTTCTGCATCTCAGCACAGAAACGCATGTAAACTTGAGTTAAGAGGCTCTAAAGTTTTAAACCCTTCTGAAAATCGTTCCGTTTGTTTCTGCGTTGTGGTGACGACGGTGATGATCATGATCATGGCTGGGAAGAAAGAACGCAGATACGTCCTTTAATAAGATTAGTGTTCCGGGTTAATTGGGTACAGTCGGACTCATTTAGTTTATCTGCCTCACCTCGTAGTCTTGGAGAAAAACGAACTGCGAAACTGTGAAGCTTTTTTGTGATGTAAATCCCTGACACCGAAAATCAAGAGTACAGATCTCAACTGTCAATAAACCTCTACTTTCTGAGTAGCAGGGGCAGTAGGTTTCTGCATGGCAGTCATTAATAATGCTAAAAGCGCTTTAAAACAAGACTTGAATATGTGCCAACCCACAGTATGTTAATTTGCTCGTTCAATAGAAACAAATCCTGAAACACAGCGAACGCCGCCTCAGTCCAGACGTAACAGTGAAAACAGTTTTTTTTTTCTGATTCTCTCAAAACGCAGTGAAATTGAACACTGACACCGATATCGATAAGGAAAATGTAAAAACTTCGAATTCCAATCAGTCGTACAGTACCCCTGTCACAGAAACCTCACAATTCAATACGGTAATGTGTCATGCTGTTCTTTCCAAGATAATACATTCTGGAAGGCGCCATCGGAGCTCCTACGTCTAGGAGTATGATGATTTGTCTCATTACAATATTACAGGCAACGGTGGTAATAATATCAGTAGTCAAGTGTTCTGTGCCAAGAGCGATTATGTTACGACAATCCCCCCGGATGCCATTTGGAGACTGGCTAAACAAACATAATTACAACACGAAATACAAACGTGTTTCGGATACTCGCAGTCTGTAGTGCAGTTGTAGCTGTAACTAACCCGTGACGTAAGGGTTTGGATTTGGGATTAGAGTTTAGGTTACTTTCAGGTTTACGATTTAGTCTAGAGCTGGTTTTAAGGGTAAGGCTGACCTAAGGTAAGATTTGGGTTATGGTAAAACTGATCAAGTAGTGGTCAGGGATAAAGTTAAGACTAAGATTTAGGTTAATTATAGTGTTAGGCTTAAAACAAAGGCTAAATTTGAGATTTATTTTATTGATGATTTAAGTAAAGTATAGAGCTAGGGTAATTTATTAGTGTCTATATTAAAGTTAAGACACAGAGGGTTAAATTAGAAAGCTACATTCAGAGTTCAATGTAAAGCTACAATTAATGTTTTGTTCAGGATTTTTGCTAGGAAATTTGGAATTTAAGGTTAAGTGCATTAAGGGTTAAATACAGGGATGGGGTGAACAGCAGTGATAGATGAAGAAAAGTCTATATGTAGGGGGGAAAAATCCATCCCCGAGGTTATTGTGTTAATTACAAGTGGCATTGTCATAACTAATTCGGGCATTGCTGAAACCTTAAGAAAAAAGAAGATTCATTAATTCCTCTCTGTCAGTTTTCATTCCATCCGAAGTCTTTAGACCTCGGAACTAAGATGCCGCTGTTTCCTGAGCTCCTAGGGCTGTCGGTCTGTAATACATGTTGCACTGAACTGTCAAACACGGGGTTTGTACATAGGGGCGAGAGGATATGTGCAAACCCGAGAGGCGCTGGTACTATTTTAACTTTGAACAGTTACAACTGCGTGTGTAGAGTGTTAATCGTCATTATTCGTCTCCGTAGAGCTGTGTTTGTTTTTTGGCTTCACAAATTCCAAAGGAAACTTGTAGTGCGCGTCCGACGTCCCTGCCATTTCTGTAAGTTTCAAGTAACTATTTCTTTGTAACCTTTTCGTCCGTTTTCTTGTTACAGTAAGTTGGAAACACAACCCCCTGCACATTTTCACAAGCCTGAAGTTAAAGGTAGTTTCGAAAATAAGAAGAGTGCTTCAGGAAGGTTGTGAGCTGAAGACTTGTGTGCGTTAAATCACAGTGCAGGCTGCGGAGTGCCTCTTTTAAGGTTCTGCAAGACGCAGACAGTAATTTGCTGTCCGTTTTACCAACAGACTTGACTGTTTCTGGTACAATAGGTGGCACCTGACGGACTGTGTCTGCAAATGGCGAGACGATTACAGTACTTACATTGAGTGTTGTTTCTTCCAAGTACTGCAGCGAACAGTCCGAGGAACTGATGTTTATGTATAAAGGTTACTGTCAATAAATATACAGTAACTGGTAAAATATAAAATCCCCAATACTAAAACAGCCTCAGAAGAAAGACAGCATGTACCTTTTGACTCAAGGCTATAACATGCATATACACCGAAACATACATGCTTGTTTTTTGACAAGATAGTACTCTGATTTTAATTAGCTGAAACCATTATTATACGCATCTTGCATAAAATAATCGTTAATTCCCCAATAAGGTAAAAGTATTATTTTGTCAGTAACTGTCACCAAGTGCGACAAGTGATATAATCATGTTGCAGTGTAAGCTAATGAAGTAAGACATGCATTGTAATGCAGTGTACTCAACAAAAGGTGTGACAGGCGAAGATGCAATAAGGTTTGATCAATGTAAAAATAAAAATAGTAACTATAATTAGCCACAGCTCGGGATTTGACAGTGAAGTCATGCGGAGGTGTAGCAGTGGTTCTGAGTGTAGCACTAGCCTAAATTTGGCAACAGCTGTGACGATAATTCACAGCCTGGTGCCAAAACAGTATCTTTAAACGTCTGGCATTGCGAGCAGTGGCTTAGGCTGAAAGTCACACTGGTTGTTCTGACATTCTACCAGCAATCAGGCCTCTTAAATTCTGTTATTTTCCACAGCAGTGCGCAGAAAGACTGAGGGCTGATGTGCTGAGATGGTGGTTTTTTAAACATGTGAGCAACATCCAGAATTCAGAAGTGTCAGTAACAACACTGGGAATTTGCCTAAAGCCGTTTGCATTGCATAGTTTATCCAGGGCTCCTCGGCAATTGCTTTTGCAAAATGCTACAGGGGATTTTTTTATGTTAACAGAATTTGGAAATGCCTTTTATTCCTGTTAGACCTACAGAGAAAGAGAGACCCGGGTGTGCTACTGTACATGCAGAGCAGTCTTCAGTGCTGTAGTGGGTGTTACTGATGTATCCTTTTAGGACCATTTGAACGTTAGTGGAAGTATGTTTTGATTGGCAGGATCAACTGTTTGTAAGTGTGGTTCTAAATCAGTGGTTTTCCCATCATCTCGTCTTCATTGAACAGGCTGTTTAAGAATCACTGTAGGTCAAAGAAGAGGCAAGTCAGACTTAACGTTGAGCTGTATATCTCACCTCTCTCTTCCAGGCTTCACATGCATTGTGTTAGTTTCTGACAGAAACCTTTTCAGGAGCCCTGGGTTGTGACTTGAGCCAATGACTACTCAAGATTCCCTGTAACAGATATAGTCAGGGGTTGATGTCAGTTAAATGTCAGATACTTTATTAATTAGCATGAACAAATATTGAAAATTGGCTAAATGTCTTTTTAAAAAAAATATTTTGAAAATCCAGATTTGGGAGTTGGCCAAACAAATAAATCTTACTGGTTTTCCCATCAAGCCAGCAACAGTAGTTTAATAATTCATAAGTACAACATCAGGCATCTAGACTTGGCTCATTGCATAATTATGTTGTATTTATGTGCCTACTCCTGAGTACAGAAGCTATTTAGCCTTAATCTGGGATGAGTACATAGCTGGAGAATGACTGCATTGATTTACTTTTCTTAAGCCTTCAGCAGTATAGTGAATGCACAATACAAGTCTCTTGCCTCTTTGCCATAAGGCTCAAAAAGAACTTGGTGATTTTGAAATCTGTTACGTCTACTAAAAAGCTATGAAGACCTGAATGTGAAGAAAATACAGTAGAAAGTAGCATAACAGGGGAATTCTAAGATTACAGTGACAACCTTTTTTAAATAGATTAAATGTTTTAACCCATATGCATTTTAAAGATTACTCTTTTATTTTGTACAGTACACACATTTAATGTTGTAATGAAAATTCTGTAAGATAAAGCAATTTTTACAAATTGAAAAAGACATATTGTACATATTGTGTGTATGTACTGTACACATTGAAATTTAATGCAAATTTACATCTTAATCACAGAAAAGATACCTCCTTCTGTGTTGTATGTCCAGTATATGGTAATATGAAATAACAAGATAGAGTATATATACATGGAGTGTACAAAACATTAGGAGTGCCTTCCCAATATTGCATTGTACCCCTTTTATACTCAGAACAGCCTCAGTTCGCTGGGGCGTGGACTCGACAAGGTGTTGAAACCATTTCGTAGGGATGCAGGTACATACTGCATGTCTACTCAGAGTAGCTTGTTCCATCTCATCCCACAGATGTGCAATTGGATTGAGATCTGGTGCCTGGGCAGGCCACTGCATTAAGCTGAATTTCCCTGTCATGTTCATGGAATCATTCCTGGACAATCTTAGCCTTGCGGCATGGGGCATTATCCTGCTGACAAAATCCATTCCCAGATGGATACATTGCTGCCGTGAAGGGATGCACCTGATCAGCAGTGATGTTCAGATATCCCGTGGCTTTCAAACATTGCTCCCCTTTTATCAAGGGGCCCAATATGTGCCTTGAAAGCACACCCCACACCATCACACCACCTCCAGCCTGCTGGAGATGTCTGGATGTCTTTTGGGTGGCGGATCATTCCGGATACAAACGGGACACTGTCGAGCCTGAAAAACCCAGCAGTGTTGCAGTTCTTGATGCACTCAAACCAGCATGCCTGGCACCTACTATCATACCCCGTTCAAAGGCACTTACATCTGCTTTCTTGCTGATTTTCCCTCACATACAGTACACCATCCAAGTCTCTCTTGTCTCAAGCCTTAAAAACCCTTCTTTAACCTGTCTCCTCCCCTTCATCTACACTGATTGAAGTGGATTTAACAGGTGAAATCAATTAGGGGGTCAAAGCTTTCACCTGGATTCGCCTGGTGAATTTCAAGGATTCTATTTCAAAGAAAGAGCAGGCATCGTTAATGTTTTGTACACTCATTGTATTTTCATATAAATGCAAAAGGTAGGCCCAAATCTGTGCATAATGTGTACCAACTTGCCAAAGAAGAAGAAATGTGTGTTTAGCCCACTAATTATATATCTGAATCTGTACTGAAACTCATGTTTTAAACTGACATGAACTGTTTAATAAGCTAGATCTCTTTTTCCACTAACAGCCCAAATAAGCTATGCAGATGCTCATTTTATATTGACAGAGCACTGTGTGGATAAATGTATACTATATATAGTACCCACATAGTAATCTCTTACATAAGCAAGTTGATTTATACTGAATTTCAAGCCTGTTACCCCACTTGAAATTACAGACATGAATTATACATGATGATTTTCTGCTTTGTTTGTACAGTTTGTACAAGAGCCTGCAGCTTTGCAAAATCTAGAATGTATTGAGTTGCTGCACATTGGGAGTCATATTTGTTTCCCTTGACATTCTGTTACATTGCAGCTAAGAAACAAATTGAGCTTTCTGTCTTCCTGCTGATTAACCAGTCAAATGCACTGTTTATTACTGTGGAGGACTTTCTTTATATAGCTTGGAATTTAAATACAGCCCTACTAATCCTACAAAGTAACTGATAGGTTGTTCAGTTTTTTCAGTCGTGATTGAAGAATTATATTGAGGTGTGTATCTGTGGCACTAAAAAAGCCTGGAGCCTAATTTTATCTTCCAAATCCTTCACTGATTCCACCTGCTGTGTAATTGGTTTACAGTTTCTGTAGATTTAGAAAATGTCTAGGCGTTGGACGCTTGCACTGGAGAAACCATGATGTATATTTTCAGGCAAGTCAAAACCTTGTGTAGCAGGGCAATAAAATTGGCATGGCAGTGCATATTGCCGAACACTGCACTTGGGAGAAAAGAACTCCTTCATTTTAATGATTCTGCCTTTGGTTTATTTCTTCAAAGGAAAACCTCTCCTGGTTGATTTGCGTACAGCGGCTGGCAGGGTTTCAGAACAGAGGCTTTGCTGAAGGACCCACGACAGCAAATCAGAAGCCCACCTTGCTGTGTGCTGCCTTGCAGAGGGACTGGAGCTGGTCATCGCGAACAAAGGCGAAACTCCGCGAAGATCCGGGGTGAAACGACTGGCTCCCGGGTCCGGGCCCACTGTGCCCGTCATGCTGCTCTCGCCATGGACCTCATCACGTTCCGCAGCGACACCGTGCTGTCCGACGTCCACCTGCTGCTCCCCCGCGGGCAGCGCCTGATGGCGCGCCTCAACGCCGCGGGGCAGCCAGGTACTGTACGGGGGCGGGAGACCGAGACGGCACAGACAGTGTGTCACTGCCCGCTATCCGCCTGTCCACCTGTCGTGCCGGCTCAAGCCAGGACAATGCTATGTAAGGGACCAGTCAGAGCAGGGACAGTGTCTCCTAGTCTGGACTGGGGACTGTGGAGAATTTCTTGTCTGGTGTTTTGAAGTTCTTTCAAATGCGCATGTTCTTAGACGGGTACTACATAGTAAAACTCTCATGTTGGGGATTCCTGTCATGTAATATTATCTTCATTCCTGCCGTCGCTATTAGATTGTTTAATCAATCCTGGTATCAATCAAGATTTTTCCCCAAGCGATATCTCTTCTTGTGCCCTGAAAAGGAAAAGGTCATCAATTAGGCCAACAGCTTCCTTTTTTCCCCCTTCCTCTTTTAGTTTTCGTTTCAAGGTTTAAGATTCTGCAGGACGGCTCGGGCTCTGCCTGCATCCCAGGAAATGAAGTGGCTGTGTCTGCAGCACCTGGAGAGAGAGGCGGCTCGCCTGGGGAGGAAGAGGAGGGAGAGAGGGGGCGGCGCCAGGTTATGGAGTCCCTCCTGGATGAAGACGGGGATCTGGACGTGCTGCGGAGACCTACGGCTTCCCTCAGGGCAGAGGGAGCTGTGGCAGAGAGGGACAAAGTCTGTCCCATCATTCTGAGTAAAGGGGAGGGGGAGTACAGTGATGAGGAGGAGTCGGCTGCTGACAGGGATGTCATTAAGATTGGTGAGAGTCTTTCCGTGGCAGGAAGCACAGTCTTCACCCTCTGAGCAGCCATGAGACCCTTGCTGCTCAGAAAAGGGTCCTCTGGCTGCCTGTGATGTAAAGAAAGCGAGCGCATTTTAACATGCTGTTGGTGTCCAGTGCTGAAATTAATAGAAATATTGATTCACAAATGTGCTGTTATCCTAAAAGGGGAAGAAAGTTTGCTGTTAAACAATTCATGTTTACGTGTTGAGTTGTTTATATGAGTTGTTGCTGTGTTGCTATGTTAATTTGTGCCGATCTTTGTTCTATCCTATTTAAAAATCCCAGACAGTTTCATAATCAGAATGAAGTTAACAGAATGAGAGTCGCAAGTCTCCAGTTATGCAAAAAAAGGACGGCCAGCCATCCATTCTCAAACCGCTTTGTCTACTTCAGGGTCGCGGGAAAGCCGGAGTCTATCCCAGCAAGCAAAGGGCAGTAGGAAGGGTACCCCCTAGACAGGATACCAGTCCATCACAGGGCACGCACAAACACAGATACACGCATTCATACCAGGGCCAAGTTTCCCAGAAGCCAATTAACCTACCAGTATGTTTTTGGACTGTGGGGAAAAAACCCACAAACATACCAACTCCGTGCAGACAGCACCTCAGGTCTGGAATTGAACCTGGGGCCCTCAGGGTGCTCTGAGGCTGTAGTGCTAACCCCTGTGCCACCATGCTCTCACCAGCTATTGATTTTACATAACCGGTTTAACAAAATAAAATGAAAATCCTATTCCCAAGACTGAGAACGCGGAAAAATAATGTTGGTGGTAATTTCAGCTTTCGTAATGAAATGCGACTCATTTTTAAATTAATGGAAAATACGACGAATGCCGGGCAGACTTCAGCAGTGAAAAACTGTGTTAATGGGCCTGTGAAAGCGAGGGCATTCAGAGTGTGGTGCTTCATAAAACAAAGGGAGATTTACAGCCCTTTTAATGGCAAAGCCTGTACAGTGGAAGATAGAGTGTTTAAACGATGCTCTTCCATTGAACCAGCCAAGGAGCTGAGTCATATTAAATGTTGTCCTCTTAGTTTGTCTGTATCGGCCTTTATCTGCCTGAATTGGCTTCATAGCCCTTAACCCCAACTGGTCCAGGGGCGCCGTACAATGGCAGACCCTGCGCTCTGACCCCAGGCTGGGGTGGAGCGGTGGCTCTGTGGCTAAGGATCTGCGCCTGTGGCTGGAAGGTTGCCGGTTCAAATCCCGCAGCCCGGGAGAGGAGTCCTACTCCGTTGGGCCCCTGAGCAAGGCCTTTAACCCCAACTGCTCCAGGGGCGCTGTAGCAATGGCTGACCCTGCGCTCTGACCCCAAGCTTCTCTCCCTGTCTGTGTGTCTCATGGAGAGCAACCTGGGGTATGTGAAAAGATAATTCCTAATGCAAGAAATTGTAAAGGGTTAATAAAGTGATATTATTATAGCTGTATCACCACTCTCTCCGTGGCCCTTGAGTGTGCACGTGCGCCAGCGTGTGTGAGGTAATTCCTTGCCAGGAGTGGGATTCTAACCCCAGAAATGTGCCCTTTGTTTTAAACAGAGCATACAATGGCTACACCCCTGGAAGATGTGGGTAAGCAGGTGCGTGTCCGTGCGTCTCGTTTGGTAACATGGATCTCGTTTCTGTGGAACACACCTTGTAGCTGACTTCTCTCTCTCTTTGTTTTTTCCTTTTCCGCTAGGTGTGGAGAGGTGCTGTCTTTATGGCCGATTACATTCTGTCGCGCCAGCAGCTGTTCAGGGGGCGCACTGCCCTGGAACTGGGGGCCGGGACTGGAATAACCAGCGTTGTCCTGGCAACGGTTGCCAGCAGCGTTTACTGTACAGGTAAGCGTGTCTGGGAACATTGAGTGTGATACAGTACAGACTGAGCTGAAGACCTGTAATAATGAGTGAAGGTTGCTGCACAAGGCCGTGCACGTATCTGTTTCCCTGTCGATTGGTGCAGAGCCGGGGGAAATTGTTGAGTCAAGCATTCCCATTCTTTTACTGCGTTTTCACCCTGTCTTTCTCCCCCTCACTATCCGTTGAGTCATAGGATAGCCAGCATGTGCCTGGAGCGCCACTTTCATGGATAAACCAGCACCAGCATGACTTCATTGCCCAAAATGGCAAGTGAAAGGTGTGATCTGCTGCAGGAAATCTCATTCACACCTCCTGTCCTCATGCTGACCTCATGCTGACCTCAGTGCCTCCGTTAGAAAATAAAAACAAGGCCGCCAGGAGATGACAAAACTCAGATAGCTGGGCGTGCAGTGCTGTGTTATTTTCTTGCAGGATGCTTATTTTTCTTTTGTTTTGCTGTGGAAATGAAAAGACACTGAAAGTGAGTCACTGCTGGAAAGCGAGTTGCTGGAAAATGTGTTCTTAAAAATGTTAATAAGTTCACCAGAGAGAAATTCTGATGAATATTTGATGTAGTATCTGGATTTTCACTTATGTGTGAAATATGTCAAGAAAAAAATCAAGGGGCTATAGGGCAAAGATGAGGTTATTGATTTTCTTCCGCTACAAAGAGACCTAAGAAATCTTCTGTAGACACGCAGTTATTTTATATGTTGACAATTTCTGTATGACCCGAGAGATCAATTTGTGTGTCTGTTTACTGTGCCGTGTCTTTCAGATGTTGGTCAAGATCTGCTGAGCATGTGTGAGAGGAATGTGGAGTTGAATAAGCACATACTGCAGCCTGCAGGTAAGATACTGCTTTCTAAATAGGCTGAACTTCCTGGGCATTTCATGAACACACTGGTTCCCTCTAGTGACTCACTTGGGTCACTCTCACAGTGTGCTGATCTGTACGTGGTTGTACTGGGCACTGATCTGCAAGAATCTAGATTAGATCATTACCTTCTGATATCCTAGACAAATTGGTCGCTTAGGAGAAGCTTTCAGTACCATATTATCAAAGGATTCTCTTTTCAATTCTAAAGAGTTTTTTAATTATGAAGCTGAATGCTGAATTGTTCTAGTCACTCCCAAATTTAAAAATGCAAGTTAAGCCTAGATATTCAGTTAAATAGTGGATTTTCTTCCATACAGTCTTTATTTTGGATGAACTTTAGTAAAACAAAATGACTTCTGGCTCAATTTGCAAATTGAATTTGAATTATTTCTATTTGTTTAAAGCTGTCGTATTCTAAGTACTGTGCATTTTCATAAATGTAATTCCTCCTCGAATGCTGGCAATAATTTCTGGACGCTTTTGTGGGAATTAATTAATTTAATCTGTGTAATTAGTCTTCAGTGTCAGTAGTCTCTCTTAAATGTTTTGAACCACACATTTCTGCCACTAATTCATAAAAAATGAAATGAACATTCCATGCATAAGACAATATTTTGGTACCTGATTTTGAAAATATCAAAGCTCCTGTTGTCTATATACATTGGGATGCCTTGTTTACTATAACATCAGTTTAATTGTTTCTGTACCTCTTTTCATTACCAGGAGGTGAAATCAAAGTTCGGGAGCTGGACTGGCTCAGAGACGACTTCCACACAGGTACGATTATGATCATGAGAGAATTGCTAATGGAACCCCAGGAGTAATTACTTCTTTATCTGTGTGATACAGTTACCTACATAATCACCCTAAACTTGTGCATATGAGCACAGGCATTTCATAAGGTGCATCCGAGAAAAAAAGGAGCTGTGTGTTCTGTTTAATGCTCTAATCTGTTTGCTACATTGAGGAGCATGTTGTTTGCTCTTCTTGTGAGATGTGCTTTCCTGTTTTGCGAACATTGGTAAGTTGATAGGGTCCTGAGGTGGCAGAATCCATTGGAAGCTGATTTGAAGTCTGCCGCTTGCTGACTGTGCTTCAGCTGTGTTTTCCTCTGGGCGCGTGCCAAGTGGGAGCGGGGCGGCGCGAGGAGGTGACCTCACCGGCCTCTCGGTGCCTGACTGACACCGCCGCTCCATTGCAGGCGCGGGTCGGCAGTTCAGCTGGACAGAGGAGGACATCGCGGATCTCCACGACAACACCACAGTCCTGATCGCTGCGGACGGTCCGTGTGCTGCCCAGATAAGATGCGCACCTGTGATACAGTCAGTTAAAGCAAACATGTCCAATCGAGGCAGCCAGGAAAGAGTGGAATCTGATAATAAGATAAGATCACTTCTAGCACAGGTTAATTACTTAATAGAAATCACTTTATTAGCCATATACAATTTCTTGCATTGGGAATTTGCATACCTGAGACACACAGGCACACAGACAGGGAGAGAAGCTTGGGGTCAGAGCGCAGGGTCAGCCATTTATACGGCGCCCCTGGAGCAGTTGGGGTTAAGGGCCTTCCTCAGGGGCCCAACGGAGTAGGATTCCTCTGCCGGCCACGGGATTTGAACCAGCAACCTTCCAGGCACAGGTGTAGATCCTTAGCCACAGTGCCACCACTCCGCCCCGGAGATAATATTTAGTCTTACCTGGGTCCTGTCAAACCATCTTTCTGCTGAGTCGCAGCTCCCTGCTGTTTCAGCGGTAACCTGAGTTGCCCCTGGCAGTAGGCTGGGTCTGGAAAGACTGATTCTCTGAAAGTATTCTTTAATTGCTCTGTTTGTTTCAACAATTCAAATTGATGAAAAGCAACATATGGCAATGGAGTAAAGAGAGCAGACAGCCAACTCCTGACAAGTAAACAGCAGCTGGGCTCCACGCCACTGTGAAACTTAGGAGGCTGAATGAATGGTCTTCATTCCATGAGGTTTTCATGTGATATGTTTGGGTGTATGTCTTAAAGGTTTTATATAATATTTAAATGACCTAAAAATAACCTGGACGGAAGGCTAAAAAACGGTGTCGCACTCCCAGTGTTTTTCTAATTGCATTGTGTTGTGTTTTTCAGTGTGTTATGATGACGAGCTGACAGATGGCTTGTTCAGAACACTATACAGAATCATGGGCAATCTACATAACCCGAGCACTGCCTATTTCTCAATTGAGAAAAGGTAATTCCTGAATGCAATGCGTGTGTGTCTGACCTGTATTAGCCGTTTTCATGCGACTCTGTTGGAGCGTGAGACGTTTCAGTCCTGAATGCTGTGGGCTCCGCTTTCTGCAGAGGGGATGGTATATTTCGGTGAACACATCCATCACATCATCAGGAGCTCATTTGTGGACTATCTCCGCACTGATGCTTAAGTTCGGTTTGGACGTTGTTCCAGGCTGAATTTCACACTCAGGCACATGGACGTGTCCTGTGAGGCGTACGATCACTTTCGCTCCTGCCTGGAGGCCCTGGGGAAACTGGCTGACGGCCGGACGGTGTTCTCTGTGGAGCAGGTCCCCCCCTCCTTCCCTCAGTTCTTCAGCTACGAGCGAATCGGTCAGCTGGTGAGTGGACCACGGAGCTCCCTGCCTGCGCTCGGCCCTCACAGACACTGTCCTGTCACATGTTAGAACTTAGTGATTTTTTTCGCCAAGGTACATACCAGCATGGCAAATATCTGTCCTTGGTTAGTTACTGCTCTGTTTGAACAGGGTTTAAAGGGCCTTGTCCTCTTTTGTGATCAACAAATCTGATTTTAGTGGGCAGGACTGTGGTATTGGTTTTTCAATATTACTGCCTCAGAGCTCCAGGGTCCTGAGTTTGATCCTGGGTTTGATGCCCACTTGTGCATGCTCACATGGGATTTGGTTAGGTAGCTGCTCGTCCCTTTTTTGGGGGGGGGGGTGTTTGAGGGAACACGCATGTAAGATGTGTTTCCAGTACAATAGAGATGGAGAATCGCATGAGCACAATGGACCGAATGGCTTCAGCAGTGGTCTTCAGTTCCTCTCATCAAGCAGCACCTTGTTTTTTAAGGTGGAAGTTGTGTGGCCAAATTTGTGCCACTGCAGCCAAGGGAAAACGGGAGCAGAAAGAAAAGCTTGAACTTTCATTTTCTTCTTCTTCTGTATTCCAGGAGCTCTGGAAAATCACAGCTTCACCCCTTGAGTGCAGTAAGGAATCCACTTCTGAGAAATAGCTCAGCAGCAGCCTGCCAGAACTGCACTGCACTATACTGGCTGATAGTTACTGTGACACACTACGTATCACTACGATGGCAGTGTGAAACCATAGACTGTGATGTTAAATATTGAGTTTGAACTGACTGCAGTTACTATGTTTTGCTGTTTTTTTTTTTAGTCTTTCTATCTAATTTGTTTCTAATTTAAAGAGCTTTTGTTTCTGAAAATGATATGGTTTCCTTGGTTTAACTGCTGTGTTTAAGAAACACATTTCAAACTCTTACAGATGTATTGAAAACCCTTTAAGAAATGTGTACAGTTTTTTTAAATTATAAAGAATTAAAGCAGGAGTTCTTTAATTAAAGAGTCATGCAGTTTTAAAACATCAGTTCTCATGACAGTGACAGTTCTTTTTCTAGAATTTAATTTGGTAGTTAGATGGCCTGCTTTATTTGTGGCACTAAAGGGATTTTTAGCTTCATTTAAAAAAGGTCCTTAATTACCTAATTAAATAATTATGCAAATTTGTATTTTTTATGAACAAGTGTACTGTATGGGTTTATTTAAAGCAATCTGACTTTGTTAATGGGGGTTTTTAATTGACTTCACAGACTTTGAAACAAAATGCATTTTGAATAATTGAATTTAACAGCTGCCTGGTTAATATTATCAATATTGAAATGCATATATAAAGCCATTAGGTTTGCAATAATGTTAACTGTACAGTGTGAATCCAGAATACAAATGTTTTCAGAATTTTATTTTTAAAATAAAATATTTGAAATACATTATCCTGTCTGGTTCCTCATTGTTATGCAGCAATGCATTTTAACAAACATTAGGAATAAAACTTAACTAATAAATGATGTACAGACAATGGTACTGGTCTATATATTGTATATTTCTTGAAATGTCTCTTTGGACATATATTAAGGTGATATATTCTTTGGTTAGATTTAAATTAGTTTAACTGTAAAGCTCCCAGAGCTGCAATTCAAGATTTTTATAAAGCTGCCTTCCTCTTTAGGTGTGGACCTATATATGTTTCGATGAATACAGATAAAACCTAGAGAATTAAAAAATGCAATCATTAACCTTGAGTTTAACTACAGGGGCATTTATAAAAGAAATTGCTCACTCAGTAGTTTAGTGAAAACAGATGAGCAAAACCTGCTGTACCTGCAAGCTATATTTGCTGTGAGGAATGAGTTGTCAAGGACAGATACAGTATTTTAAAACCTTTGCCGGTTAATGCTGTGGGACAGAAACAATGTTATAATGAATAATATTCTAAAACACTTTTTTTCCACTAGGTGGAGGCGCTGGGCATCTTCCAGGCATTTTGCAATACTTAAGGTGGCCATCAGAGGAACCGCAATGTCAGTCTAAATATTCCTCCAGTCAGAAACTGTTCATCCCAGCTGAAGCTCATACTTTTAAATGACTCTTTAAATTAAGAAAAAAAAACAGCTGTACAGAAAGTCCGTGATGAATACTCCATGCTCTTGTTCCTCCCTGTTCTGATTTTAATTTCTGCCGATTTATTTGCTCGATCTTATCTTGTTATTTTGTTCCTAGAGTGTCCGCACGACTCCCTGTTCACCTTATTTAAAACTGCCCTGAAATTGCAAGATGTCAATTTGTGAATCCAGTGTTGCGCCTTTGTCAAAGTGAAAATTAGTATTTAATTCCCATGCCTATTAAACTGTAACACTGCCCCAAAATGACACTTTTAATAAATCCTATAGCATTTTTTTACCTGTTCAGAGTCTTGCCATTGGCAGGAATCTGGGAGAGCTCATCAGTATCACATGCTTGCCGTGCACAGGCATTCAGAACTAATTTTCATTTCAAGGGGCAAAGGCCAAATTTACCAATGAACATCTGTTGGTTTAAGGGCAGTTTTACATTTCAAGTCACCTCACAGACGTGACATCTGGAGATGGCAGCTGTTAAGGTTTTGAAAGAAATTGAGTGTAATTAAGAGCATTATCGAGCTAAGCGCTCAGATTCTCTGGTAAAAGGAACTGGGTTGTCCTGTAATTTTATATACTATAAGGTAAAAGAAACTCGATTTTTTTCTGCACTTTGCTAACTTATGAAATGAATTCACTCTGGTTTCTGACATGTTATGTTACAGGTGTGAAATGCTCCTTATGAGATCCCTAGGCCATTTGCACTTTTCATAATACAGATTCTTCCCCTAGGACATCAACTAAAGAAGATCCTGTGTCTGTGGCATGTATCACCTGCAAAGAAAAAGGAAGATCGTCAAGATTACAGACCCTGCCAGCTCCCAGCATGAGGGAGCTACTTTTCCATATGTATTCCATGCGTCTTTTTGTCTTCTCTTGGAGGACAATACCTGCCTGCCAGTAGCCATATCACCCTACAACTTACTGTACAACTGGCAGCCCACTGAAGCTCAGCAGGTGTGAGCCTGGTCAGTACCTGGATGGGAGACCTCCTGGGAAAAACTAAGGCTGCTGCTGGAAGAGGTGTCAGTGGGGCCAGCGGGGGGCGCTCACCCTGCGTTCCGTGTGGGTCCTAATGCCCCAGTATAGTGACGGGGACACTGTACTGTAAAAAGGCGCCATCCTTCAGATCCTGACTCTCTGGTCATTCAAAATCCCAGGGCGTTTCTTGAAAAGAGTAGGGGTAGCCCCCTGGCCAAATTTCCCATTGGCCCCATCTATGAACTGGCTTCATCACTCTGCTCTCCTCCCCACTGAGAGCTGGTGTGTGGGGAGCGATCTATGGCTGCCGTCGCATCATCCAGGTGGGGGCTACACACTGGTGGTGGTGGAGGGGAGTCCCCATTACCTTTGAGTGGAGTGTCCAGAGAAGTGCTAAGCAATTATTATTTTTACCCCTGTGCTGGGCTTTGCCCACTACGCCTGTACTCACTCTGTACCAGATGAAGACAGTCTTGTAGGCGTTCTCGTTGGAACAGGACCCACAGCCCATTGTCTGCACCTTCCTCAGGCCCTTGGGGGCCACCTGTGGGCGAGCAGAGACCATATCAGTGAGTGGTCTGCTACGGCCGAAGACCCCCACTGTACAGTATTGCTTCTTACAGTAAGGTATATTTTGCTACTCGTTCATTCAAACAAGACTTATTACACAGGCAATATAGCAAGGCATATTACACAGGTAATATATTTTAAAAAGGGGAGGAATCGTGTGGGTTTCATGATCTCTTGGGTGTACGCGAACGGACCTCTGTCCCCCTTGCACCCCGTCTTTGGCTCCCCCAACACGCCGCTGGAGCGCCTGTGCTACACGTTTCCCAGCCGTGTCCGCCAAGCGGAGCCGGGAGGGGAGGCAGCTGTCCCCGATTGGCTGCCAGTCTGAAGGCTCGTCCCGTCGTCTCTCCTCCCCTCCTCTCCTCTCCCCCCATCCGTGAAGGCCGCCGCGTTTTAAAGCCAGCTGCGGAGCTGTTGCCTAAACCGGAGCTTGCACGGACGCCGACCGCCTGCTCTCCCCTGCCGGTCCCTGTCACCTAGCTAGGCAGCATCACATCACGGTGGGTCTCTCCCGCACTTCCTGCAGAGCCGAGCTGCGGGTGACGCCAGCGCAGATCGGCTGTGCTGCTGGAGGCGTATTTGTTGTTATTTTTAAGTTTGTTGATATGCACCCGTTTGTGCACGATTGGTAATTTTGTCAACCTCCTAAACCGGTCGCTCCAGCCCGAGCCCGGTCACGCAGAGTGTGCGAGCCGATTGTTTTCGTGCCTGTCATTTGTGTGTGTGTGTGTGTTTGTATTTACACTTTGCATTTGTCCCACCTTGGCGTGAGGGGGCCCCTTCAGTTAAAATTGTTTTGAACAAACTGGGATAAGCGCACGCTTTGCCGTCGATGTCGAAATCGCAAGTAAATCGCTCATCTGTGAAATGGAGGTGACGTCCTCCTGCTGCTTCCAGCCCACGGCTGCTAGAGCGTCTCGGCATAAACATCCGTCCAGATCTAGTCGGAACCGGCTGCATCTGGGTGTTGCATGAACTCTCATCATTGCTTTACGCAATGACGGTCTTGGCACGGATAGTTACCGTTATGTGCCTTGGCAGTTCATACGCGTGAGGAGTTCAGGACTGACGGGGCAAGCTTAAATGCCGACGCAATTTGTGCCTCAACCTATTTTGTCAACCTAGTGTGTTTTTCAACCTGTTCCGTATATCCTTTTTAAAGCTGCCGAAAATAATCATTTTAAATTTCTGGAACGGGGATCCGGGTCCCCCAAGCCAAAAATGAAAGATGTGAGTCGGTGCGCAAACTGTAGCCTGTCTTCTAGGGACGTGCGTCCCTGCAGGGGTCGAGACAGGTCACCTGGTCTTGGAAGACCGTCGCACCTTGAAACCCCCATAATTGATAAATGACCACCACGTTTTGCAGAGGCAGAAGCCGGAAGTGTCCATTTAAAGCATCTCTTTGTTAACATCAGCCGAAAATAAACACGGTACCGTACTGCATTTACCTTTTCATGTGCTAAAAACGGAAAGTGGAGTTCTGAAGTGCAGGCTGTATGATTCTTCAGAGGCAGAGAGCGGCACATTCCTGCAATTGGTAAAAATTGCAGGAATGTGCAATTCAGGACTAACCAGAATTGTAGCATCTGTGTTATACCCCATATGCAATTTTATATTGAGTGCAGGTCGACACCTGCTGAGGGCTGATACAGTAATTAAAAAGAGCCTCAGTTATGTGACAAGCTAATTTCTCCCCTCACATTGGGAAATCGACTTCTTTCCTTTACTTTCACGGAGCGCTCATTGACCGGTGCAGGATCTGGCATCTGCTCTTCAATCTAAAACGGGGGGACCCCTGTCCTGGTTATGGGGATCCCCACACCCGCTTGTTCCAGCCAGACTCTCACCTGCACAAATGAAACCCTTCATTGCCTGACTCATAGGATTCGCTCGAACTGTTTCAGCTCTCGGGCGTGTCAGAGGCTGTTCTCCCGATCGTTGCTTTTCAGAGCTCATCGAAAAATTCCCAAACTTTTTGAGCGGGCCAAAAAAAAAAAGCCAACAACTGGCAAGTGTTCCAATGAAGCCGCCTGCTAAATTCAATTAAGGCTTCGGGAGGAATCCTACTCCGTTGGGCCCCTGAGCAAGGCCCTTAACCCCAACTGCTCCAGGGGCGCTGTACAATGGCTGACCCTGCGCTCTGACCCCAAGCTTCTCTCCCTGTCTGTGTGTCTCATGGGGAACAAGCTGGGGTATGCGAAAAGACAAATTCCTAATGCAGGGCTAATAAAGTGATCTCTATTAAGTAATTAACCTGGTCTTCCTCCACCACCACAGTCGCTCTGAACCTCTCCTAGGAAACACCAGCTAACGACCAAACAGTCATCCGGGCTGCTTGTCTCCATAGTGATTCCGTTACCAGGAGGGTGCCAGCCTGGGAAAACTGGAGTTGGTGCTGTCACAGCACTTTGAGTCTTCCAGTCACTGCGGAGTAGATCCTTAATCGCTTAATCAATCCACGTGTTACAGATCACAATGATAGATAAGGATTAGCTGGAGCACAGACTTGGAATGGCCTGGATTCCATATAGAATCTGCAAAAAAAAAAAGGTGATTTTCTTTCATACTGGTTGGCGCGATGTTGAACATGTAATGTTCACAGGGAGTTTTTAGCTTCAGGTAAATCATTTTGCACTGTATAATATTAACCAGCATAGTGCACAGTGACTTTGATAGTAAATGCCCCCAGAGCTATAATTATTGGGTCAGATAAGGTTTCCTCAGTCCTGCTGAAATTACCAGCCTTATCTAAGATTGGTCAAGGGTAGCTGCCATTCTGCACCCTGTCAAATAATGTAATCGTGTGTGCTGACCTTTATAGGCTTTATAGGCTGTAGGAAATTTCCATTATGTTTTTAGGAAATGTCACTTCTTTACACTTGATTTAAAAATGTCTTGATCAGACAACAAAGGTGAAGAATCTCTCAATGTTTGAAGGCCCCCTCTGTGACAACATAGTGCTGTGGCTGCAGTTACTGCTGCACCTAATAAAAGAAGTGTCAGTAAAAAGTAGCTTCTCTTCAGATGAGCACTCCTTATTGAAACCTAACATTATTGATTATTGATTTCTAACATTGGCATCATAATTCCTCTGTGTACAGTATTAATAGACAAGGCGTTTCAGAGGCCTAACATTCTGGTCACCCCAAAAACCCCAGACTGCTACTAAGCATTAAACTCTTAATGGCTCTCCTGGGATGTTTGTAAGATCTCTCAATTGTCTTTCTCCCCATTCCTGAAAGTCGATCGTTTCCAGAAATTTGAAGAGACTCCCTGCACTGAGGTTTCCTTTTACAATCCTGGCAGGTCCTCTGGTTTGTCCTACAACCCATATGTATGGTTATTGTTTATTTCCTCCTCTTCCTGTTCTGGTATTTTCTCTGTTTGTGCCAGTATCACAAACTACACTACTACAAGCTGTGCTACGCCTAGAAGTACAGTTTCAGTAAAAGTGTGCACAAGCGTGTATACTGTACATACATGTGTGTGGTCTGTGTGTGAGCTCTGCTGTGTACACATGTGTGTACACCGGTGTGTGTATATATACGTGTGTGTGGTCGTTGTGTGCTCTACTGTGGTCTGTGTGTATTTGTACACGTCTGTGTGTACTCTACGATCAACTGGTGTCCTGTATCTGCATCTTGCCTTCAGCCGGTTGTCTGTAGAGTCAGGTTCCGGCTCGTTAGAGCTGTGTATTGAACTGAGCAGTTATTGAAAATTGAACTTTTTCTATCTCTCAGGGCAGTTTACTTATAGGGTTTTCTGTGAAGCAAGATAACACCTCCACTGTTCACTTCAACCCTTAATGCACTAAGGATGTGATTACATTCCTGTGGCCACAACTGTCACACTGTATTCAGTACAGCCCATCTTGAAAATTGTAAAAGTGACTGAACAGCCTCACCCATACAAATGTGTGTTTTAATTTAATGCAGTTCAGCAAGAGTCTGACAGCATTTTTTTCTAGCTCTGGCAGAAGTTGCCACACAGACCTGAGCAGTGCCTGTCCAAAGCGCAGACACTGATCTTTCACAAACACCGTAGATAAAGGACATTTTCGTTTTGTATAACTGACCAAAACTGCACCAGTTTGTAAAGCCATTTTGCTAAAAATAATCAGCTGATAGGAAATTTTAATATGCTTTGTTTAGGATATGTTTAGTTTAGAAAAATAGGATACTTTGACGGAGTGATTAAAGTAACACTGTATTCTAATATGTTCAGCTTAATTTGTTACATTTTTTTCCTTGTTGTGCCCATGTTTTGATTTTTCACATTTTACCAGGATTGTGCGGTAAATTGCCTAAGTCTACCATGACAAAATCCTTCACAAAATTAGAACCACAGTTGCCACCACTAGTAAGGTGCTCTGTGGGCTGGGCCTGCAAAAGGGTAAATCCATCTGCTCTAATGAGATTATAAAGCATAGTGCCGTGGGTTAGTCTACGTAATTATAGTTAAGTTTATTCTGGTTTTTGTCAAGTGGTTACCTTGGCAACTGTATAATGGCGTGTACTTTCCTGTTGGTACGGTTATTGAAATCCTGCCTCTGTCTCCTGCATCAGGGCTCCTTCTGTGAGCTCTTGTGCTCGCTGCCTCTCTCCCGTTTCCCGGGCAACGGATTAGAAGCATCCGCTTTTGTGTGGTGAGTGCGCTGTTCTGAAAGTGAGTTAACCCTCAGGGGGAAAAAAAACTGCCAATGTCAAAAACAAGTAAATAAACGAGCAAACTAGTGCGTGTGATGATGTAGTGTATAGCGTGCGCCGTATCACACCTTGACCAGAAAGGTTTGTTCTGCGTGCTTTCAGTAGCGGTGATATGAGTGGTATGTCAGGTTAGCAATTGGATGACACCAGTTTGACTCGTCTTTCAACCTGTCACAGTTCTGCAGTTCCTAGGCCAGCTCCTTCATGCTTATCCCTGAAAGCTTTGAGCTCCTTTGACTTTATCAGTTATTTCAGCTCACAGGTAGAAAGGGTACAGGGTATGAGCTAGGCAAAATTATTTGGAAAAATTATATAACAATATTGCATGTCAATTGATACATTGAAGCATTAAATCCGGTCACAATAACAAGCTCCATGCAGTTTTTTTTTTCTACTTTCTGATTAAGAGTGAACACAACGTATAAATAGGAACTATAGCACCCTCTGGTCCTATTAAGATGTCCCTAATCAATGAAGTACTTCACAAATACGTGAAAATAATGAAGGAGAGCTCTGGAAGATTGTCAGTTGCAGCCTCTTATCAGAATTAAGGTTTATCCTTCTCTTGTTTCTTCATTCACTCCTCCTGCTTTCTCCAGCAGCACCAGTGTTGAGGTAGAAGACTTTAACAGTAAAACCGTGCAGTGCAAAGCAATTAGCATTTTAATGGGCTGTGCAGATGAGTTTTCGCACTGCATTTGTCCTTATTCTTGGTTATGTTAGATTCCTCAAGAACGGCATAGCCAGTTGTAATAAAGGTTCAGTGATGTTGAGGTATTGAGTGAATAACTAAACAAAGTCTGTCCTGTCTCATGAGGGATTATGTTTCATACTGCCTCTTGTTCTTTACCCTCTCTCTTGAAGTGTGATTGCCTGCTCTTTAATTTCCAGCAACATTGTGTTCTTCATGGTTAAATGCACTTGGGTAGCTGTGCTGGAGAGGAGACGGTTTGTGTTTGTGATTCACGGACAAAATCCTCATCATTAACTAGTTCTGTTGAGGAGTATTATCATTGGGGGGAAAAAGAGCTACATTTGTACAAAGTCACCACAATGACATTGTAATTTTTTTGTTGTTTTCTGCATAACATATTTGTTTGAGATAAAAAGCCATATGTTAGTGAACAGTAAATCAGACTATATACAGCACAGATTTATTATTCTCTAATATGTATGTACTTGTTTGATAAATATGTATGTGTAAGGTGTCGGCTAGTGTACCTTGTCTCCATTGGGATTGAATTTCCAGTATTTGGTAGATCTGCTGGAGTCTCAGAGGCAGAAGACTTGCTTTCTGAGGCCTGCTCGGCGCAGTCATGTTTTTGTGAGAACCAGTTTTATCCAGTAAGGCTACATGTGCATCAGCCTGTCTCCTAGACACTGTGGAGAGTGTTCTTGTGCCTGACGCTTTGATTATGTAACCAAGCCAGAATCCAGAGCAGAAGGGATGTAGCACTGACATTACTACACATGGATAGCGATGCACTCTGGTTGTCTGTGGGCGAGCTGTGTGTTCAGGCTCAAAGACCGATGCCTTCAGACATCTGCATCTAGCTAACCGAGTTGAAATGCTTTGGGAAAACCTCTAAATGTTTTGCTTGGGCTGTGTTGTCATGATCATCGTAGATTAAATTTCAGAACATGCTCATTGCTCAACGGATGACCGGTGTCAGAGCAACCACATTTTCGGCAAAGCCTGCAAATTGCAGATTACCTGCGTTTTTTTGGTTATATCAACTGGGAATGTTTCTCGTTTTTTGTGAACCAGCTGTGAATCCTTTTAGAGTGAATGGTCATCCATTCCCCTAGTATATGTGTGTTGGACATGAAAATAAAACTGTTTAAACTGGAACAGTTTTTGCAAGAAATAACTGTTTGAATTTTATATGTAAGTGGAAGAAATATATAAAAATTAATGTTTAAGAATCTTTTTTTAATAGTGGTGAACATTGGGACTGGAGTTTGCTGTGCGTGTGACAGATTGCTGGTAGGTAATGCTATTAATGGAGAGATGGGAGAGGGTTATAGAGGTGCTAGCACTGGGAATATGAAGCACAGTATTCTATATGCTGTATAGAACCATTCTGACCTGTAAAGGTTATTGTGAGGGGAGCAGTTAGGAATACTGGGGACAAAAAAAAAACAACTAATGCTGACAGCTACTCCCCAGTAAACAACAAAGACATGCTTGTCCTTGTTAACTCTCGGTGAATCACTGAAGTTTGGCGTTTCTATTAAGGACCATGCAAATTCCTCCTACACTTTGCTTGCCTGGTGGCTAAACTCGAGAGTCTGCAGTGTGGCGTCCTTTTGCACAGGAGGAAAAGGCCATGCATCCAAGGCAGGGGTGCCAAACTCCAACCCTAGAGAGCCACTCAGTCTGCAGATTTTTGTTCCATCTCTGCTTTTTAGTGACCCCCACTAATTAGTAGTTCAGCTGCGGCAGCCTAAGAGCTATTACCAGCTCTTGAGGTGATGCTGAAACACATCATTTGTAGTGCTGTCCAGACGCATGCCTCACGCACACACCTGACTACCACGTGGAGCTTCCTTGCAGTTAGTTTACGCATAATCCTCCAATGATAACATATAATATTTTTTTGCATACAGACTTAAATTTCTTCCATTGTAATCGCAGTGAAATGGTAGCACCTAATACACATTGGTTTTTTTGTGTGTGCAATTTTCATGTTTTGTTCATTTAAAAACATGTTTGTATGATACAGACTGAATGTGCAACCAGGGTTTCCAAAAATCTTTACTTATTCATATATACTATATCAGAACCTGATTGCCTCTCCCTGAGTAACTTTCTGTAATAGGGTTAACATACCACAGGAACTCCAGAACAGTGCGTCCATTTAAGGATACACTGTGTTGTACACTGTCTGTGTTATTGCCTGAAGATAGGATCCTCTGTTTCCAGGACCTTGAACGTGCTCTTCTGCTGCAGCTGCAGGTGTAGGCACGGCCCCTAACTCTTCCTCCTGTCTGTCTCTTACAGGTAAAGTGAAGTCTGGTCTGAGCCTGTCTCCATCTCTCTCCACCCACAAACATGGCTTCCAGCCTGCTCAGTCGCCAAGTGGCGGTCTCTCTCCAGCACAATCTCCGGCTCTCAGTGCCCCGTAAGTAGAGCCCCGAACTTCCCCGAAACACAAAAGACAAGTCTCTCCTCCCTGGGTCCACAGCAGTCAGTGGGCTTTCCTATAGACCGCAGGATTTCCTCTTCTGACAGAGGACGGCACCTCCCTCCTCCTCATGTTTGTCACCTTCTGATGATGTAAAATGCTGCTTGTTTTGTGTCATTTTAAAATACTGCAGTAAAACATCGTATTCCAACCCTCTGGGCTCTGTGGTTTTAAGTCGCAGTTGCAATGCACTCCTTTATAAATATGTTTGATGAGTTAAAGTAAGTTTAATGCCTGCATACCTTGGCTCATTCATGGATATAAAATAAAGAATGTTTTCAGTGACGTATTTCAAAATGTAAAAAAGGCATGGATATGTATTTTCATTTTTAGAGTCAGCCATGCACTTTAAAAAGTGTGCAGAAGCTTTTATGGAACATTGAAGCTGTTTTTAGTATTCAGTGTACAAGTGCTGTTTTCATGTAATACTGTGACTGTGAATATGTCTGTGTAGAACCGTTGCTTCAGAAATGGTTTTGAATAAGAGTGTGTTCCACAAAGAAAATATGTAGCACTAAGAAAAGCTTTCTGGAGATGTAGCAAGTTGCTGCACACTGTGACTGATACACCCCTGACCTAACTGCAACCTTGCCGAAAGATTCTACTACCTGCATAATTCATCGCCTCGATTTACTGGGAGGAATAAAAATATATTGACATCGAAACGTTTGATTGCAGGCTAATGTTCTTCTTGCGCAACAAAAAAGCGATTGTCATGCATAAAGTAGTTAACCATTCCAAAATTCCTGATTGCCTGCTGTATGAATTTTAAGGTGATGTGGTTTAGCTGTTGTACATGGACTCACTTCCTGATAATACTCATTTGCTTCTATAAAGCTATAAGGCAAAGGTGGGAACTAGTCCCAGTAGTGCTTGTGACTGAAGGTTTCATAATCTGCTGTAGGTCAAAGCTCAAAGGTTTCTGCAGCTGTAATTTCTGGATCTATCTAGTTTTTAGTGTTCTCAGTTTATGTAACATCTGCTGTTGCTGGAGAAAGCCCACGAGGACTGATCATGTTTGCTGTGCTCAGTGGGTCTACATGCCTGTCTTTCTTGTGTAGAGCAATTCAGAAAAGCTCTGCAGTTCTCTTGCAGCTCCTCAAGGAAGGAAGAAAGAGTTTAAATAAAGAGTTCATGGTATCAACTCACCTTTTGCGTTGGTGCACACCTTTGATTATTTATATTTGATCAAAAATGGAAAATATGTAGACACTGTAGTCTAGATCAGTGATTTGCAGCCTCCGAGACTTCAAATGCTAGATTTTAACTAGGTTGAGAATGCAGAAAGACATTATGTGGTGCAGTGTTGTATGTCATACAACTCCTTTGAGAGGCTAGTCACCTGCAAAATATCTTGCACAGTAGGGAGACCGTTTTACTGCTGCTAATTGTTGCTGATAGATTTAATGAGTGGTTATTTTCTGCAAAGTGATTGTACTTGCTTCAGGTGCGCAGATGTTACATGGCATTGAGTATAATCTCAATGTAAATAAAATATAGATATTCCTAAATGCTTTTTAAAAGAATCATCTAGCACCAGTGGCTAGAGAAGGCTCTGAAGTGGGACCTAGTTATGAATCTCTGCCAACTGGAGATTCAAAGAATAGGGCATTTCTTTGCGAAGCATTTTTTACTCGTGATTGGCAGAATGTTTAATAGCAACTTTTGGTTGGAGATAAAAAGTGCCAGAACATATTCGGGCCGGATCGAACATTTAGCATGGGGACTTCATCTGTTGTCTGACTTGGCATGGTGTGAATCTCAGGCTCAGTGCTGCCAGTATGTATGTGATTTGTAAGATTTTAATTATCTGAATTCTTTAATGATCATGCAGAGTGTCTACTCTACAGCAGGCATTTATAGTTCAAGGGGGTTCCATTCTTGAAATCCCCATCAAATGGAGCTTCCACTATGTGCAGAGAAACGTTATGGGGACTGGTTCCTTATGTAGGCAAAACAATGTGTTTTTTAATTTAGATTTTCTTCTTTTATGGATTGTTGACATAATCAAAAATATGAAATATTTTTTTTGTGTACATAGAAGAAATGTAGCATGCTGGTGTTTAAAAAAAAATAGACAAGTGAAAATGACAATAATTGTGGGATCATCTAGGGCTACAGAACTTTTGAGCTCAAGTAGCTCTTCACTTTGTGCTCAAAACAATAGTTGAATAGACTATTGAATAGAAACAAGTCTATGTAGGCATCTGCAGCAGCCAAAGTCCTTTCGTTAGCTTTCCAGCACACCGGCAAACAAGTCTTATTTTAACCTTTCACAGCACAGCGTCAGTCAGCACAGGCTTGTCCTTGCTGTCTACAGAGGCACTCTGGCAAAGCTGCAGCACTTAAAGCCTGTGCTTTTGCACTTTAAACTCTGGTGCTGTTTTTTGCACTTGTAAAAATGTGCAGCGTTTGCTCGGGCTAACATTCCTTCTCTTGAGTTTTGTGGCCAGCTGATGCAGAGTCTCTGCACGGAAAGTGCTCGTTTAAAAAAAACAGGCTCTGCTCCTTTCTGTGAGCACCTGGGAAGTCAGAGTGAGCAAAGAATGTTGCTTCTGCAGCCCAACCTCGATCCCTCAGAGCAGAAGCAAGGATGTTGCCCGCAGGTCACGGAATAGGGGCTAAAAAAGCTGACTGTGGATCAGCGAACTGTGAAGGTCTGTAGTGTATGCTGAATTATTCTGAGACCGTTTCTGAGAGAATTTCTTCTTTTAAGCACGTTATAGCCTCAGAGCCCCAGCCCCAGAGTTTAGCACTGATGCTAAGATGCCATGTCTGAGCAAACATGCCCACTCCTGTCTCTTGTCAGCAGCTGTCGGAAGAACAGTGGTTTTACTGGTCTTGACCGTCATGTCGTTCTCTCGCAGGGTACAGATGTGTGAGCAAGGCTGCAACGAAGAGCTCTGTTGAGTTTGAGTATGATGGCCCCTTGATGAAGACCACAGTCCCAGGGCCCAGATCCAAAGTAAGAGCCCAGCATTTACCACCGCTGTCTGTGCTGTACGCTTGTCACCTAAACAGATAAGGCCAGATTTGAAAAACATGGAGTCACTTTGCCAAAGAGCAAAGGCTCTCCTCTTCTCTGTAAACTCTCCTATGTAAAAGACACAGAGTATTTCTAAAAATGCTCGTTAAGTAAGAACTAAATTGGATTAACAAATGCAATATATTTGCTCTCTCATCAAATTGTGAGTTGTCTGAAAGTCAGTGCCCTTAAAGGTTGCAATCAAGGCTTCAGATAGTGTGGGAGTGCAAAATGCAGAGCAACACATACAACTTTTCTGTGTCTGCGAAAAATATCTTTTCAGAGAGGAGCTGGTCGGACCAAATATTTAAAAAAATATATTAAGGACCAAAAAATAAATTCCGAGCCGAAATGGAAGAATTAATTTTGGATTTCGCATTCAGGTTGGGGTTTCCTGGAGTTCAGCTGTTGGCTGCTGGCTGGCTGAATCATTCTGAGCGTGCGGACCTAAAGGTGTTAAGCACTTCACACCTTTAGGTCTGTTCAGCACGCTCAAAACTTGCTTCAGAGAAAAACTGAAATACTAATGAGTGAAAATTCTTGCAGTGTGTGCGAAACGGTGAAGTTGACCCTAAAAAACACAGCAGGAGTTACTCAGTTTGAGTGGGAATGTAGGCATGCAGACTGACTGCGTCTCTGTCTCTCTGTATCCTCCACAGGACCTGATGAAGCAGCTGGGTGAAATCCAGGTTAGTTCCAGTCACCCAAAGAGTGCCCTGACTGCTGGCATCGAATGCTGGTCAAATGAGGCCAATCTCTGTCCTTTCCCCCTGTGTTTTATATAATCTGCTCGTTAGCATTTCAATAACCCCTTGCATGTTTCATTGACGTAACGTGATTACATAAAAAAGAGCACATTCTTTTGACGCATCTCTGAATTAGTGAGAAACCAACTGAAGACAATTGTGTCATGATGTGGAGCAAATAAAATCCGAACACTGCACACATTTTCGGCATCTTTTCTTAAAATCAGAACTATTCATCTCAACATCAGATGAAACTAGATTTGTGGTAGGCCAGGTCACTAAGTGACTTTCTTCCAAACGTTTCAAACAGACATGCCTGTCTAATTTAAGGAACGTCTCTGAGGCTACAGCCGGCATGTCAGATTCTTGCATTCTTTCCTTTGGGCATTCAATCAGAAAAACAAAAGACTAACTAATAAAAATAAAGACACAGAACTCATTAACAGCTATTGAGTTTAGTTGTTTTCCTGTTGCTTAAAGCTATGTGCTCAGCTGAGCATTCTGGCAGGGAAACAGTTTATTAATGCACAGTTTATTAGAGACGACAGCACTGATGGATGACTTTGCTCCTGGGAGAGGGAAGATGCTGATGTTAATGAATTTTATAATGGTTCTGTGTTAGTGGTGACAAGACAAAACCCCGAGAGGGCCAGTTTTGCAGTAAGGCCATGGTTTTGTAGACCTTCCAAGCTGATAAAAAATATGAGAAAATGTGAGCCATTTTCCTATGTGTACGTGAAGAATCTGACTTTTCTAGTTCAGTGTAAGAAAGGCGATCCTCTTAACAGCGTAAAACATGAGATTAAACTAGACACTTCCTTCATCTGCAGGAGCCTGATAATTTAGTGTAATTGCAGTATGATGTAATGCTCTTAGAATATGTGGACAAAAAAACGTTCAAGGTTGAGTTAGCAGTTCTTCTCATCAAAATTCACTCATCATACAAATGTGCGCTGTTGACGTGGTTATACAAAGCGTTTTTTACTCGACAGGAGAGGCAGAGTCCACACACGCCAAGCGTGATGCCTCGTAACCTTCGTCTGCAACCCTGTCGTTCCAGGAAGCTGGCGCGGTGAATTTCTTCTGCAACTACGAAGAGAGTCGGGGGAACTACCTGGTGGATGTGGATGGGAATCGCATGCTGGACGTGTACACCCAGATCTCCTCCATCCCGATCGGTAAGAACTACGAGGTGTCGACAGCAGGGACGGTCGGAAATCAGCCCCCGACTGTCGCGGGAGACCAGCGCTTTCAAACACGGTGGCCTCCAAGACATTTTCCTGCTCATCTGCGTGCTTCAGTTCCCACCAGAGAGTCATGCTCCCTTCTGCACAGAAATCTTGGTAGCAGCGGGTTTCTGAAGCTCCAGGCAAAGATTTGTGCTGAATTTGACTGACCTCCATATGTTTTACTCAAGGACACACCTACTGTACAACTCCTGTTTAGACAAGCATACAGTAATTGCAGGATCTCTGGTTCTTGCTAACACTAAGACATTAAGATATTTCCTTAACTCCTTTAGAAACCTCAGCCCCTTGAATCCTGGTTGGGAACCAGGCTGTTAATGATGGTGTCGGAGTGGGGGAGGTAGGCAAGGCTCCAGCAGAAGCTCGTTTTCTTTCAGCCTTGGTGATGATTTTTGCATACAGCCTTTGTGCCGAACAGAAATTTTAATAACAAAAAAAACCGCACGGGCTTGTGAAGGCTTGTGTCCCGGTGATAGGCTTTGTTTCAGAGTGGTAGCAGAGGGTCAATAGAGAAACCTTGCACCTTCTCTAACGCACACCTCGGGTGTTCACTGAGGCAAGCTCAGTTCTCTCTGGAGAATTGGTTCCAATGCTGCAGGGGTGGAAACAGGTCTTCTGTTCGTGCTCTTTTTTGCTGTTCCTGATTTCAGCAGCTGCAGTGGGTTTCTGTATGTGAGCACAGTCTAGGAGTCTGTGTGCATGATATATATATATATTCACAATGAATGGACAGTCGTATTTAGTCAACCCTGATATGGAACAAGCTGCAATGGAGTAGGCTCTGCGTTTGCATTCCTGTATTTGTGTCATGGAGTTTTACAAGTGATCCAGAGACAGAAGCCCTCTTATAGTTTGAACAAAAACACATTCTCCCTGCACGGGGGTTGATACAAGAGCTGCATTAAAAACAAAATGGTTTAAAATAAAATTTCTTTCTGATGAGTTTAAACGAGCAATTTGTTTTACCCCATATAAGGCATTTCTGTTTTGGAATTGAAGCACTTTGTTACCTGAGGGATGAAAATGCAGCATGCCTGTTTTTTTCTCTTCCTCCCCCCAAAAACAAATATTTTACAGTAAATCTCTGCCAATCCCTGAGTTATTTATTGTGAGGGACTAACAGGAACATTGGAGAAAATGAACATCACCGAAATCGATATTAATCATATATGTCACTTCTGTTGCTTTCAGTCATCCATAACTTTGGATACGAGGCCATAAAATCTTTACAAATAATGTGGAAAACATGAAAGAAATGCATCGGCAGCAGTACATTCACATTTTACAATATATTGTAACTCTGTTAAGCCCACCACAAGCAGCCCTGTGTACTGGCACACACACTGACCGGAGGCCTTTGACCAGTGTGAGCCTCACTCCAGCAGAGGGCGAGGAATGAGGGGAGGGGCTCCCTCGAGAGGAATGAGGGGAGGGGCCACATAGTTAAAAGCACCTCATCTAACATCACTGAAGATGGCTTCTTCACCGGCAATTTCATGAGGCATAGCACCTGGGAGCTCAGAGTGAGAAGTGATCTGGATATGACAGCATAGATAGACCTAGAGCACCGCGCCCAGTAAAGTATGCACGCCATCCATTTTCTAACCGTTTATCCAAATCAGGTTTGCTGGGAAACTGGAGCCCGTCCCAGCAAGCTGGGACTCTCCCTGGATGGGACGCCAGCCCATCTGAGGGCACACACAACACAAGCCTACACACACTCGCACAAGGGCCAGTTTTCTCGAAAGCCACTTAACCTACCGGTGTGTCTTTGGCCTGAGGGAGGAGATTGGAGCGCCCGGAGGTAAACCCACGTGAACAAGGGGAGAACGTACAAACTCAACACAGTACGAGCAGCGCCCAAGTTGTGTTATTTTGGTTCTGCCCTCGCCGGAACTGATTTTGCCTGAACAACGACAGGTTGTAGCTCCTCGACAGCGGCTCTTGTTAGTCCGGCGCTAAACAGACGTGTTTCACGAAACTCCTGGCGTTGCGAATGGGCTGGATTGTTCTGGAGGAACTGGGAGTCTCTTTGTTTCTCTCGCTGCTGGCAAGAGATTTTCCTTTTTGCTCTGTGCAGGACTGCCATGATTGCTGAAGCCAGATGCACAACTGTGCAATATGTCCTCCGACTTCATTGAATTTGATTCTCAAGTGCAGTTTGCTCTATCATTTCTAGTTTCCCCTATTGTTCTGGGGGGAGAATGAGGCCAGTGTCTTTTCCGTTCTGAATATCCACAGGAATCCATCGTTGTCTGTTTATACCGAGGCCGTTTTGCTTGAGCTCCAAAGACATTCATCATCTGTGACAGTGTACTAACGAAGGTCTGTTCTGTGGAGATAAGATGTAGACTAGGAGAGACTTCGGAGCGGTGCCCTCCGATTGTCACATGGGCTGGTCTTGTAGCGAGACATTTTTCTGCTGGCTACCTAAATGTATTTAATTTTTTAGTTTTAACCAAACAAATGCCAAAACTCGCAATGTTGAAAACCTGCTAGGGAAATAGGGCCAAACTCCTTGTTGGCGGTACCAGTGCAAGTAAGAGGACCGATACTGAGAATCGAGATGCAGTTTTCAGGAGGAGGAAGCTTCCGGACGGCTTGGTACCGTTAGTGGAATATTAGTAATTTTTTGGATCCTCTTCTGCAACCTCAAAGATTTGTGTATGTCTGATAAAGTTGTGTAATCTGACCCAGACTATAAAATACAGCTACACCACACTTAATAAGTATCCATTAGTGTTTCTGGTTAAACAAATCTCATTAAAGGACGCTGCGTCTGAAACTGATCTATCAATGGAGGAACCTGCTTTCATTTTTTTCTCACTAATATTTGTTCTCCTTTGGTTGATTGAAACGAGTACATATTAAGAGATACTATTATTGTTATGAAATATTATACACTCTTAAAATTTGGTTCTGTTTCAAGGTGGAAAACCATTCCATTCACATTTGATGACATGACATGGTGCCCATGCTGTCCCGTTACAGTTCAGTGGTCCTGGCTGGAGCAGGGCAGCTGTCTACATTGTACTCCCCATACTGAGTGGCGGTGTCTAGTACGTCTGCAGTTGCTTGGATGAGGGAAGCTGTTCAATTTGTGGCGTGTAGCTGGGATCCCCGATACATGATGCCCTGTGTGCAGCCAGCAGCCTCATTTGTTTGATGCAAATGGTGCAGGCAAGCCATTCCGCCACTTCAGTGCCGTCTGATCAGGCCCCTGCGTTTCCATGACAGTGACGATTCGGCTCTGGAACCTGAAAGAGCTGCTGCGTACCGCTGCAGTTGATGTTTCTTTCAGTTTCAGTTTTTCTCACCCAAACCGCATTGTCCTGAAACCCCAATCGGCTCGATCGAGACCCAGCCGGTCCTCGCAGTCGTGTCCTTCCTTTTCTTTATGAGGCTGGACCAGGCATTGGCATGGCTTGGGTAGGCAGCTACGTCAGCATGCAGAGGTTGCAAAAGAACAGGTAACGGTTTATTCCATGCTGAAAGGAAACGAAAGAGACAGCATTTCGGCTGTGGAGCCTTCTTCAGGTGTCTTCTTCACTTCTCTCCTTCATTTATTTGGAGTCGTTACCATGCCATGATAATATAACTCACAGTCCTTCTCCTCCAAGTTCTCTTCAGCAATATATACACTGTCACCTACATACAGGTAACTGAGTAATAGAGGATTAATCTCTGTAATGCAATAAATAACAACAAAAGATGAGGATTCTGTTAAAGATCTGTGGCATTTCTTGTGTCTGTTTCCGTCTCATAAAGTACAAACTGTACAAACTGTCTTACAGTATATACACCCACGGTAGGGACAAGTAGATTTAATGGATGTGATACCATCGATGAAATACTGTTATCTGTGCCAGGAGGATGTGAGTGTACTGATAAGCAATTTTGAAAGATCAAAATGTTCTGTAAGCATGACAGTCTGACCTCTGCTCTATGTGTCTTTCTGATTGAATTATATTTTATTGTTTCTTAGGATACAGCCACCCAGCACTCATCAAAGTCATGCAGAATCCCGACAATCTGGTAAGTATGGTTTGACGATAGATAAAGACAGACCAAAAAAAAAATCTTTGCATATCTTAAGAGTTATAAAAAATGTTCAGAATGCGTGTTGTCCTTATTTTTTCATCTATTCCATCTAATCTCAATGGTCACAGCACATCTCAGAGCACAGAAAGAGGAGAAGCCAGATGAGGGGGAAAAAATCACATCCTGCAGTCACCTCGCTGAGGAGGGGGGTGTTGGAAACTGAGGCTTTGCTCCTGAAAGCAGCAAAATAACATTGACTATTTTGAAACGGTGTGCATCTGTGAAAAGACCGTTGATGATTTTTAAATGGTATTATTTTGACAGATTAAATTATCTGACTGTGTTCTGAGTGTTTGTGGTTAGACTTTAAGATACTTAAATTCTTTTAAAAGATAAATGCAGTTAAACGTCTCCCGGCAATCCTGAATCCTGACGTTTCATTTATTGTCCTCATTCTGCTGTGATTTGCACTTCAGATATTTTTCCTTTACTGTGGTGGAAATACTACTGTACTACTAATAATGCTAAACGTGTAAACCTGTGGAATGGAATGTTTTTTCTCACTGACTTTACTCGTGATTTCTGCTCCCTGTCTTGTTCTCCTGCAGAGTGCATTTGTGAATAGACCAGCCCTGGGGATCCTACCTCCTGAGAACTTCCCAGAAAAGCTATTGGAAACACTTTTGTCGGTAAATTCTACAGGACATCCCAGCACCAGAGAAACAGGCTCAGGACTCCTGCAGTCCTGTATAGTCATATATTCTCATCAGCTTGGGCACACTGCTCGCAGAGACAGGCAGGGGATGGGATACAGAAGTGGGGCTCTGAGTGTGTGAAACACAACAGACTGAACAGGAGTTGTGAGGGTGGGTCAGTCCGCCTACAGTTTGGACTCCCGGTCAGAGCTGTGATAATTGCAACCTTGCCTCTCAGCTGTGCGCTGCAGCCTCAATCAAAAATAAGGGCTTTTTAATCTGTTCTGCATCATTCCATTCAGGTTAAGCGTTATATTAATACTTATTGAGCTATACTTCACAGCTGATTTAAGAACACGGCTCAGCAATAAATCTTGGATCCATTTACAACAAGCAAGTGCAAGAAAAATTGTATTTCTGTGCTTTGACTACGTCTGTGCTTGGTGGGTAGACCAGAAGCAAGGGGAATGCAGACACCGTTTGCTGTTTAGACCCTGCAGTTGCCCTGCAAACTGACCAGGCAAGGAGACAATTGCACAGCAATCCTGCCAGATCAAGCAGCCTAAAATCACTCTGCAAGCTACCTAGAAATGCATTTTATTGATTGATACCACCAGAGCCAAATTTGCACTTCAGCGTGTCAGAATGTGGTAAAACTGTATAGCTGCTCTTTAGTTCTGAGATATTTTTAAAGGTCTTTATCGCTTTTCTCCTACCGAACGAAATGTGGGAAAGCTATCATGCCATTCATTTAAAGTACACGCTGTACTGTCAGTATCTTCTGTTGGCTAGACCGTGCAGTCGGGAGTCCTGGAGTATGTGAAGTAAAGGCCGTGTGTGAACGTGTGTGAAATTACTGCTGAATCGGAAGCGAGCAGGTGCTGAGCGGGATGTGTCCGGCACTGGGGGTCTTCGGCCGTAGCAGACTGCTCACTGATATGGTCTCTGCTCGCCCACAGGTGGCCCCCAAGGGCCTGAGGAAGGTGCAGACAATGGCCTGTGGGTCCTGTTCCAATGAGAACGCCTACAAGACTGTCTTCATCTGGTACAGAGTGAGTACAGGCGTAGTGGGCAAAGCCCAGCACAGGGGTAATAATAATAATTGCTTACGCTAATATATCACTTCTCTGGACACCCCACTCAAAGGTAATGGGGACTCCCCTCCACCACCACCAGTGTGTAGCCCCCACCTGGATGATGCGACGGCAGCCATAGTGCGCCAGAACGCTCCCCACACATCAGCTATCAGTGGGGAGGAGAGCAGAGTGATGAAGCCAGTTCATAGATGGGGCCAATGGGAAATTTGGCCAGGGGGCTACCCCTACTCTTTTCAAGAAACGCCCTGGGATTTTTAATGACCACAGAGAGTCAGATTCTGTGTGAGGGGGCTGCTGCTGTCCCCTTGAGCAAGGCTCTTCAGTAAAACGCCCAGCTGCATTGGTAGCTACAAGTGTGTGTTTCTTTGGATGAATGCACCTGCGTAATAAATTGGTATAACGAAATACCTGTCAGCGTTGTTGCTCACTGTTTGCCATTGAGCTCATAAAGCCCCTCCGTGTTTTTGTGTGTCTAGAACAAGGAGAGAGGAGACATCAAGCCCACGAAAGAGGAGATAGAGACGTGTATGGTCAACCAGGTATGCAGCCTGTTCTGCTTTCATTAGTGTCTGCAAGTCTGGGGACTCCACACTGCCATCTGCTGGAGAAATAAATGACGTGTCTTTCCTCTCAGGCCCCAGGCTGCCCAGATTACAGCATCTTGTCCTTCATGGGCGGCTTCCACGGGCGAACTCTAGGTAGGGCGAAACGCCAAGCTCACTTTCTGTAAGAACAAACCGTACTTGATATGGAGGACAGCGCTCCTGCGCTTACAATTACTGCACCAAAGAAGCTGGATTATTTTGGTTGATTTTTTATAGTAAGAGTTGCATTCTTAGCTATTGTCATAAGGGAAAGACTTAACAAACAACAAAAGTGAAAACCGAAATGGAACAGACTTCAAACGCGACTTTAACAACAGCGCTTACTTGTGTGTCGCGGGAGATATTAAACCCTCAGGAAGTCAGGGTTTACATCCCATGTGTAGGTCTTGCTGGCTGACGCTCGATTCTCGCGTGCAGGTTGCCTAGCGACAACGCACTCCAAGGTCGTCCACAAGCTGGACGTGCCCTCTTTTGACTGGCCCATCGCCCCCTTCCCCAGGCTGAGGTACCCCCTGGAGGAGTTTGTGAGGGAGAACGCCCAGGAAGAGGCTCGCTGCCTCGAAGAGGTGAGACCTGAGCTCACACCGCCCTCCCACTGACCGCCTGTTTCCTGTTTAACCAGCCTGCAGATATTTGGTTCAGATTCTGCCATCTTGTCGAATACGTCCACATGTATATACAGTGGGGGGCTGTGAGTCAGACTCTCGGGGTGATAGTGGGGGGCTGTGGGACAGACTCTCGGGGGGGCCATTGATGAGAGGCCCTGAGACAGACTTTCAGGGTGACAGTGGGGGGCTGTGGGACAGACTCTCGGGGGGGCTGTTGGTGGGGGGCTGTGGGACAGACTCTCGGGGGGGCGGTTGGTGAGGGGCTGTGGGACAGACTCTCGGGGGGGCGGTTGGTGAGGGGCTGTGGGACAGACTCTCGGGGGGGCGGTTGGTGAGGGGCTGTGAGACAGATTCTCGGGGCGACAGTGGGGGGCTGTGGGACAGATTCTCGGGATGACGCAGGGCTGTTTTGCAGGTGGAGGACCTCATCGTGAAGTACAGGAAGAAGGGCAAGACTGTGGCAGGGATCGTGATTGAGCCCATCCAGTCGGAGGGGGGGGACAACCACGCGTCCGACGACTTCTTCAGGAAGCTGAGAGAGATCGCCAGGAAGGTACAGGCCCCCCTAATCTCCAGCGCCCCGTCGGCAGTCATTTCACAAGCATGGGGCTGCAGACGCGAGAGGCTCGGGGAGAATAGCCTCCTCTCCATGAACCAAAAACAGAAATGATTTCTCTGTGAATTCACAATTGGCTACCTTTGAGCAAATGCGCCCGTGAAATAGAGAGTATTGTTTGGGAGAGGTGTGATTACGTGACGATCAGAGACGCACTCCGGGGACCACGTTGTGACAGGTTGCGTGAAGTCAAATGTTAAGTGTTCGGAGAGGAGTAGGTCTCGAAGCGAATGTCTGGTGTCCGTCTTCATTTTACAATGCGAGCTAGCCGCCCACTTGGGAGTGAGAGTGAGGGGATTAGGCGGCAGTTTGCCGGTGCTGAAGAAGCAGGCCTGTTGGTCGCCCGTGTTACCATGCTCTCTCTCCGCCGGCTGGGGGGTAGCTGACTGTGACCCCCCGGCTTTTTTTTTTCCCCCCCACCCCAGCACGGCTGCGCCTTCCACGTGGATGAGGTGCAAACGGGCTGTGGCGGCACAGGCAAGTTCTGGGCACACGATCACTGGGGCCTGGAGGACCCTGCGGACATCGTCTCCTTCAGCAAGAAGATGCTCACCGGCGGCTACTACTACAAGGAGGAGATGACCCCCGACATGGTATATAGCTCCCTGCCTCTCCGAGACCTGCAGTCGGCTGTTTTCACCTCTTTTTTTTTTAAGCTTCTGTTTTTGTTGGGGGGGGGGCGCTTATGATTGGGTTTCAGGGTGGTGTCGCAGGACTGGGTCCCGGACTCTCGTGCACCTCCTGTGTGGAGTTTGCATGTTCTCCTCTCGGTCATGTGTTGATATGCCAGGGTGTTTCAGTTTCTTCCCTCCTTCCAGAGACACGCTGGTTTGTGTAACTGGTGTCTCGACATGGTTCCTGTGTTCATATGCTCTTAGAAAGGAACGGGTGATAATATTAAACTAGAAGTGCGTCACTTTCGGGTGTTGTTGCGGTTGTATAGATCACTTACACGGTGGCAAAACCAGTCTTGTGTTTGATTTACCCAGCCCTACAGGATCTTCAACACGTGGATGGGAGATCCTTCCAAAAACCTCTTGCTGAGCGCAGTCCTGAATGTCATAAAGGCGGAGAGGCTGCTTCAGGAGGTGGCCCGGTCTGGGAAGGCCCTGCTGGATGGCTTGTATGACTTACAGGTACCACATGTACTGCTGGCCCAGCCGAGCTCTGGGATTAACGAGCAGTAGCAATGATTAAGATGACTCTGATGTCAGGCTGCATCTTGCAGTTCAGCATTAGGGCACATGATGGCTAATGGCTACATGGTTAATTCAAGCAGACATTCAAGCAGAGAGACATTGAAGCACCCAGGACTGTATGTGATGGGGCCTGTATGTAATCTGAGGACCCAGATTGAATTTCACCTGCGGTGTCTCCCTGCAGGCTCGCTATCCCCACATCCTGAGTGCTGCCAGGGGCAGGGGGACATTCTGTGCTATTGATGTCCGAGATGAAGACTTGAGGAACAGCCTCATCATAAAAGCCCGAAACAAGGGTAAGTGCAAACTGAGGGGGAGGTTAAAGGTTTAGGACTGGGGATCTCGGGCTGGTCTTTTTCACTCTGGTCCACGTTACTGAACCATTAATTGGTCTTGGGTTATGATGGTATGTAGCCAGTGGCTGAAGGCACCTTTAACACTTGACAGCTTGGTCCTGTTTCCTAGTCTCATCAGATCTCAGAAGCCAGGTAAAGCCAGGTGTGATCTGAGGGATTGAAACCTCTTAGGAAAACCAGCTTGCTGCAGTGGGTGGTACTCATGGACCAGTAGGAAGCACTCTTCTGTCCAGATCCAAATTTCTAAACCACTTCCCCAGTCTTGTGACTGGTGATGTGGTACTATAGGAGGGTGTACTTCGAATGAGACATTAATCTGTGGTCCTGATCACCTCGCCATTATTTAAGATCCCATGGCATTGTTTCTGAAAGTAGAGGTGTTGACCCTGGTATCCTGCCTTAAGCCCCAAACTGAAATTAAGTCTTCATAATGTTCCCAGCAATTTCCCCCTTCTCCACCTGACTGCTGTGTAGTAGGGCTACGAGCACAGAATACCTGCTGTGCATCACCCACGTTCAATCCTTTCCGGTATATGAAGCACTGGGATACTTCCATTTGAGAAATGCTGTATAAATGCAGGGAATTATTATTATTTCCTGAAGGTTAAGAGCTTTCAGGTGTTGTCATTTTCCAGATTAGCCTCAGTTATAAATAGTGAGCCCTTTATCACGAGAAGCTGTTTCTGTGATTCCTTTTGTGGTGTTGGGAGAGTCAGGGGGCGCAGCACATCCAATATTGTTGATGGTGATAATACGTACAGAGAAAGGACATTACTCGGGCATGCAAGGCTCTGAAATCTGCACCTCCCTAATCTTGCGCTTCACAAAATCGTGTCCCACCCAGGGGTGGTGCTGGGAGGCTGTGGAGAAAGGTCCATCCGTTTCCGCCCGGCCCTGGTCTTCAAGGAGTACCACGCGCACCTCTTCCTGAATATCTTCGGCGACATCCTGGCGGAGTACAAGTAGGCGCCGGGCATCTCGGCGGAGCGACGCACAGGGTCCACGTCCCGAGGGAAGAGAGCTCTCGGACATATCGCCACAAGGCCCCCTCCCCCCCCCCGTTCCCGAAGCAATCATCACATCACGGAAAACATGTTTCTCCCAACGACACCCGCATAAACACCGGATTTCAAAAGCAGCCCCGAAAAGGGCTGCGGCAAACTCAAAATCCATTGTCGGCTGGACAAGGAGGGTTTGTTGTTTTTAATTGTACGGAAAACCCGTTTATTTGGGGGCATCGCCCTCTTACCAAGGGAATTTTGTTAGCCATTTCAGCATTGTTTCTTTCAAAACAATGTTACAGAGAGCAATAGAAGCAATATACTGTATACTCCATCATTACTGGCACAGTACCCCCTTTTTAGGAGACTATGGGCAGAAGGCAGCTGGCATATTGTGACGGCAAGATGTTCTGCACTTCTGAAACATGATCTACCACCTGATATGCGTCAGAAGGAGGTTAGGTGGATGCCAACCTAAATGTACTGATGGGTCTTTTAAAATACGCCTGATGGTTTAAATGGCACAATTCAAGTAGGCGTTACTGAACCTCCTCCAGTGCAGGCTTGAATTGACAGGACTTGGGGGACGCTCACAGAGGTGGGTGGCTTTAAAAAAAAAAAAGTGTTGTCAAAAGGCACAAGACATGCAGTGTTGGAAAGGTGCTGGTAAAGAATCTAGCCGGGAGTGTTCACACATTCACAAAACGCTGGCTTCTTCGGAATTGCAAAGATAAATTCTAAGAAGGAACTCAATAGCTAATATCACCGAATTTCACCGTAAGGCTTTTATTACACTATAAAGCTGCCCAGGCTCTAGAGCTCGAATATTCCTTTTACAGTCCAGCTCCACCATGCACATTTATAAAATGGGTTGCCCCTTAGTTCATATTTCTGTTTTATTTATGCCTCTGTTTACCAAGAAATTCTTTATTGAAGCCAAGAACACGATTCAAAATGAATCTCCACTAATGATTTGGAGTCCTGTTTATAAAGCTGGGCATTTTACTAAAGTAATTTGCAATGTCCCACTTGGGCATTAAACCCACGATCAATGGAAGATGAAGCTAATAAATATTTTGTAATCGTGTCATACAGCAGTTATCACATTAAACGTAAGACAAATGATGAACATTTTGCATCCTTCACACACTAATCACTTGTCAGTCATGTACACGCACAAATATATTAACTCCTTTAATCAAACCTATTTTAATGTTTAAAGTGGTTTCCTTTTATTGTTTTAATGTTGATTCAATGTCTTAATTGTTCCTGCTCGGGTGAAGAGTGCGGGAACACTCGTGAGTTTCTGAACAGAGGTGGTTAATGTCTGGTTTTTATTTTAAGAATATGTACTGGCCATATGTGAATGTGTGGAATGTGAAAGCCAGTCTGTGTAGAGACTTCTGTATCTCGTGATTCCTGCCTGTTAAAAATAGACAAATGATAAGAGTGCATTTTTGTTTACAATGTTCTGTGACCTAAGCGGTGCCAAAAGTTGGTGTAATTTACTAAAATAGGTCTCATTCTCGTTGGAAAAAGAAAATATATCTGAATTCTAAAATAAATCTTAGACATTTTGATTAACTTAAGTGTGATTTTGTTCCTACCTGCACTCTTTCCCGGTGGTAAGCTGAACTGTGTACTTGAATATCTCCTTGCACCTTTTGTTCCTAAGCCTGAAATTAACATTCACACAAAAATAAGAGGGCAGTGGGACCTTTTTCACCCTTGGATACACATTTTATACAGATTTACTACTAACAATAAGACTGTCGCATGTACATGACAGTACTATTTGACAGTTCGGTGCTTTCTTTCGGTGTACCCATCCATGTTGTCAGAGCCGATACTCCGAAACACTTCTTGCAAAGATAAGCTGGACAAGACGCTCACACCTACTAACTACGATATAGGCTAGGAGGTTCAGAGGTTCGTTTGCAACCTTTCTTACCATTTTAAAGCACATATATCCCTGGCTATGGCTCCCAAATTAGAGGTGTTTTTACGACTGACAGGAAAAGATGCACCTGCACAGAGGGAAACTGACCAGGTCTAGTGCAAATGATCACATTACTCCTATCCTGGAGTCCTTGCACTGGCTTCCTGTCAAATTCGGTGTGGACTTATAAATCCTCATGCTCGCCTACAAGGCTCTGCATGGCTTGGCACCTCAGTACCTGTCTGAACTATAATCGCCCTACTTCCCACCTCGCAACCTTCGCTCTTCTAATTCTGCCCTCCTTACTGTCCCCCAAGCCCGTCTACACTGTATGGGTGACAGGGCCTTCTCCTGTTATGCCCCCAAGCTCTGGAACTCTCTCCCCAAGGATATCAGAGAGTCTCCTTCTCTAAACTCCTTCAAATCCAGACTCAAAACCCTCTTCTCCAGAAAAGCCTTTACTGAACTGGTTCCATTCTTCACCCCTCTGCTTTTCCTAGTACCACCATCCACGGTCTCCTCTATATATTGTAATTGTGTTTTATCTTGTGTATTCTTTTTATTTATTGTTGTTGTCATTCTGTAAAGTGCTTTGAAAAGCCACCTTTAAAGGCGCTATATAAAATAAAGTTTATTATTATTATTATAAACTGAGATATGCCCATTCATGCAGACGGCACGGCTGTGGAGTGTGGGAGTAAACGGGAGCACCAGGCAAACGCCCACAAGGTAGCCGAGGACCCAGACAAGCTGGACAATCGAATCCAGCACACAGGTGTAGAGGCCGCAGCGCAGTCGCACCAGTGTGCCAAGGAAACCCAAGAAAAAGGATTCTCTTCCGCGCAGCACTCGTGCACATCCCATTTCAAGTGTGGAGTGGCGGTCAGGGCTCCGGCCTTGTAACCGGAAGGGTGTGGGTTCAAATCCCAAGCCAGACATTGTTGGTGTAGCCATGGGTAAAGGTGCTGCTCCCATAAAATACATTCGTACCCATTTATAGCGCTAGGTAAGTCAATTTGGGTTAAATTAATCTTTAATTCATACACTGATCTAATTAAGCACACAAGAAGGCCTTTTTTCAACACTATATTACATACCACCACTATATGCAAACAGTGTCAGAGGTCCAGCCCCCGACCCAGACAGGTCCTGTTCTTTTTCGGCATCTTCACCCGGCGGCTACAGATCAGCCTCCCGGCCGGAGAACGATTTGCAAAGCTGGGCCGTAAGGAAATGCCAAAGAGCAGCACCGCTACAGGCATTCCCAGCCAAAACATCCACGATTCTAGTCACTGCAATACTGGATAGTGGCAGTTTTCCTCCGACAGATTAAGTCAAGTGTTTCATTCTGCCGATCCTTCGCCTTTCACCGGGAAACCATTTTAAAACAATGCTTTCTTTGGAGTGTCAGGGGACAGGACCAAAGACTTCCACGAATGCCCGTTTGTCCACAACCTGTCCCAGGCGAATGGTGAAGTACAGGACCTCAGGGTGGCTGTAGCGCTTAAACCGCAGCAACATCTCATTGTGGGGGTCCCCCGTATCCCCGAGGGTCATGATATCCGCCACCGGGACATACTGATCCCGTCTTTGACCCCAGAAGGTCAGGTGGGATACCTTCAGGACGGTTTTAGAGTTGTTAATGTACATCATCCCGATGATGTGCCGGAGGTAGTGGCTCAAAGAGAACAGCATCACGGTGGCAAAGACAGCAACGCCTGTGGCGTAGCTGACGAGGGTGCCGGAGCACAGTCCCTGCGAGAACAGGTAGTATACAGGAGGCAGCGTAACCACGGTGATCCCAGTCTGGAGCAGCTTGAGTCGGGACACTGCCCTGAGGACCCTGATGGCTGGAAGCCTGTAGATCAGGGAGAATTTCTCATTGGAGCGGTTTTCATTGGAGCGGTCTTGGTGGGCTCCAGTTAGCAGCTGGCTGTGCACCCTAAGTGTGGTCCATACTGTGCGTTCCTGCATCGAAGCGAGGGGACGGCGTTCGTGCTGGTGAGGGGTGAAGGAACGGCCACCGACCAGACATCTCTCACGATGCGCTGAAGCAGAAGCGCCGGGCCACACACACGGCGAAGCACGAACGGTTCGCAGAGACAGTATTGATCTGTACTTTAAAGGAGATAAGCGGGGGAAAAGTTTGCTTATTATAGACTCGTGTACTTGACTAATTTATTGTTAATAATGAATAAACCCAAGCATGAAGGTTAAGACACAGACCAAGATTAACATGTCAAATACCACAAAACAGGTGAACTAGCTAACAGTATTCTATTCGACTGGGCTGTAATAAACGTGTCACAATCACAAACGTCTCTTCACACATATAAGAGCAACCCTCCTGAGCATAATAAAAGTATTTGCTAAACAATGCATCATCCTAAACGTAATTGCTTCAGATATTAAAAGGAACGATGGTGCAAAGTCAATTACCATCACAGCAGACCGAAGTTGCAAGCCAAGAGGGATGACATCATAAACGCTCCGGGGGGAAACAAAGCCTTCTTCGACAGAGTACCGGATTCATCGAATTCCCCCTGATCCTTATTTTTTTAAGAACGTTATTGAATCAAACAAAATCGTGTATATGATACTGCTTACTATTAACCGCAAAACGGACATACATTGTTTTTCGGTTACTTCAACCATCTCTAAAATAATGTCTTTGTAGTCCACATCCGGACTCGCTAGCTCATTTCCGCCGGTGGTGAACCGAAACTGTACTACATGTCCCAGAGTGACACGTAATCTTTTCCTGGTGGAAGAGGTCTAGTGTGACTGTGATATTTGACTTTATTTTCACGTTAATCACAATCAAGACTATCTTTTCATTATTTGAAACAAGCAGTCAGACAGTTAAGAAAATGGCACCATCTGGGAAGGATACGACAACCCTCTGCTTGTTCGATGTCGATGGGACTCTAACTGCAGCAAGACAGGTGAGTTGTAAATATTTCGAGCTGGTTTTCCTGAAATGCTCGTTCTTCTTTGGAGAAGCTAAAGATGATCCTGAAAATGTGAAGGGATCGTCGCGGGATGCTGGGGTATTCAGTTTCAGAAGGCGCGGATTAATGAGGATGACGAGAACGTTTAAATCACCAAAAATAAAGACGTGTTTCCATTCTGATCTTTCCAAGCCAGTCACTCTGATATCGAAGTGGCACCGTTGATTTTAGTTTCTGGCTAGCTTTTACGAACATATTTAGACAACACAGAAAGAAAAGGGAAAAGCAAACTGACTTAGAGTTCTTTGAACAATCAACAGTAATCAATAGTTAAAAATAGGGTTTTTCGTTCTTAAATTCTTATGAAACTTTCCCCTCCACAGAAAGTCACCCCTGACATGGATGAGTTTCTTCAGAGGCTGAGAAAGAGGGTGCGAGTTGGAGTAGTTGGGGGATCTGATTTTGAAAAGATCAAAGAGCAGCTCGGAGCAGATGGTGAGTATTGACAAGCCATTAATCATATTGATTGATTAATCATATTGCAAGTCAGTTGGAAGATGAGTGATGGTAATTTGCCCACCCTGAGGCAAAAGCAATACAATGACTTTGTTGTGATCTAGGTTAACTATCTGAAGCCAATCCAGGCTATTAATGCTGTTTTTTCTTTAATAATTATAAAGTATTACATTTAGCAGCTCCAGAATCTGTACAAATGCATGATATTTGTAGGAAGGTACAAGCAACCATACCTGCTGCTAAATGCATCCTTTGTTGTAAAGATATTGTATTTCACATTTGAACCTACACTGGGAACAAAGCCTTGTTAATCTAAGGTATTGTAATTTTTGCCTATTTGATCTGAAGATTTTTGAGTGAAGGGGTTTTTAGTACAATTACCTCTCTGCAGGAAGGCTCTCAGGTGCTGGTCAAGACTGAAAGCCTGAGATAATGATCAGTGTAGCTGCAGTATTTGTAGGATATAGCATTAATAACTAAAGTATTAGTATAGTATTAGTAACTAAAGTAGTGTATACAAGGAGGAGAAACAAAGGTAAATGTAAGAAATTCTGTGCATATGATTATATACGATCTCCAGTCTGTTCACTTTGCACAGATAATTATAAACCGCAATTTAAAATGAGCTGATGGGTTTTTTGACAGTCCAGACAACGTCATACATTTCGGGATTGAAAAGCGGCGAATTAAACTAACACCGCTTAAATCACGTTTCTAAATGAGTAATATGAAAATAAACTACGTGTAATTCATCTAGTTAGACATTACCACGTTTTTACACGCACTGTTTACTCCAAACGGTTGAGTGTTTGTAAGCGTTTCCGTGCAGAGCTATTAAATTTCCATTTAAAGAGATCTATTGGCATTACCAGTGGACTATAATTTGACCAAAGTAATGACATTTTCAAACGTTCAGAACAACAATTAAATGTTAATTTGAGAGGCTCACCGTGTATCTCAGCCAATCAGAGGGCTGCCTGTGATGGGCGTGACGTGGGTGTGTCCGCTGTGCGCAAACCGGATTGCAGGAGATTGAACCTTGACGTCTTTAAAGGTTCATTACAGTTCACCTGTTTGTTCCTGTTTTCCTACCACCATATATAGGCGTTCAATTATAAAATCTGCATTTCCGTATTAAGAGAATAGGATTCATTTTGGGCCCAGTTTTTTGTTCAATAAAATACGAGACGATTGTGGTTTGCACAGCGTGTTCATGGGCAGGTAAACATCAAAAACGTCAAGAATAGCCCCGCAAAATATGCCAGCGCTATTAATAATCGTAGCTGAGTGTTCCTTATAAAACGTATATTGCCCTGACAGGTTGACTAACGTTTGTTCAAAGTGAAGGAGACGAAGGAGTTTAAAGAAAGCACAAAGTGACACTATAAAATACTCTCATCAATGTCTGCTCTTCAGAAGCACATAAATCGAGACCACGTTTTCCATGAAACATCAATATTCACTATCCAAAGAAGATTCAGATCACCTTTGTTCATTTTATAACATTTACTTGTTTTGGCTAATTAAGAAGTATTGTCCTTTGCCACAGAATGACTAGTGAGATTTGTTGGGCCTGCAATCAAATTAGTAAACTACCCAGCTGTATAAATGGGTACAAGTGAAAGTTGCTTTGACTGAAAGCACCAGACAAATGAATTTGTAATATTTAATTCCTGCTCATCTGACTCGGCCCTGTGTTGGATTCAGCTGAGAAATCGTTATGAGAAAGGACTCGGTGAACACGGCAGGGGTGTGCTAATGGGCGAGATGAGAAGATGGGAATTGTGCACAGCACCCTGGAGGCCACAGCATCAAAGCAAAGCCTTCTGCCTGTGCAGCTCTGTTCAGTTTAATGAGCAGGGGGCTGTCACGGAGTCTGTATCTCTGTGCCCAGTGCCTTATCAAAAGTGAAGAGCAGGCACCTAATGGTACAAGGAGTTCTCCTTCAGTTTGCTTATTTTGATATTTCATCTTGTCTAGTCGAGTACAGAAAGCCCACTCTGCCTCTTCTTCACAGCCCAGTGTCTCTGCAACAACCAGTGCAAATCTCCCAGAGAAGCTGTTGTGTCAGAGATGTTGGGCTAGAAAACCCAATACTTTCCACAGAGCTGTGCAGAAGGAGAGCTGTTCATTGCTGTTCTTTATCACTGAACCTTTTTTTGTTGGCAGTGGTGGAAAAGGTGGATTATGTGTTTGCTGAGAATGGATTAGTTGCCTACAGAGATGGAAAACTGTTGTCTGTTCAGGTAGGGATCATCTCCTGACAACCTTAAAACACAAACTGACACCGCTGAACTGCTAATACCAGCTATAGAGCACGGCATCATTAGAAATGACCATAATATACTTAAATCATATTAAGAGAATTGTCATGGAACATGTTGGAAAAATGAACTTTTTCCACACTGTTCTTTCTGTGATTTTTAGGACAGCTGAAGTGATCATTTGTTGTTGTTTTTTAATTCTTTTCAGAGCATTCAAGCACATCTTGGCGAGGAACTGCTCCAAGACTTTATAAATTACTGCCTGAATTACATGGCAAAGATAAAATTGCCCAAGAAAAGGTGTGATGGTCCCCAGATCTTCCTGACCACATTCGAACTGCAAACCATGGTCTTACTTAAGCTCTTCGTGCTAAAGCATGAGAACATAAAAATATAAAAAGGGTTACAAATGAGAGAGTGCAGTTCAGTCCATCCAGCCATTTCTTTAAAGCAGTCAGGGTGTCGGTTTCATCACTATGGCTGGGTAGCTTGTACCAGACTCCCACGACGCCTCTTAATCTTATATTTCAATGAACTTCCATGTAGTTTTTACGTTGTAAAACCTTCTTGTTTTAGTCACATGACTTTTAAATCACTTTTCTATGCCTAAAGCTAAGATTATTATGCAGAGTTCAGTTTGTTTCAGCCTTATCAGTGCCGGTGTTCCGGTTTCAAGTTCCACACATGAATACCATTTGTGAACAGCATAGTTTTAACAGGCAAATTGATATAGCCAGGCTGTTTGAAATTTGGTACTCTGTCTCTTCACGTTTGGAGCTTTGCTTTAATTAACTCGGCAGTCGTACAGGGCTGATTGACTCTCAGCAGGTCAGCTTGTAATTCGTGCTGATGACTTCCGTTTCCTCCCTGCAGGGGCACGTTCATCGAGTTTCGTAACGGAATGCTGAACGTTTCTCCGGTGGGGAGAAGCTGCAGCCAGGAAGAGCGAATTGAGTTCTTTGAACTTGATAAAGTGAGTCACTCATTCATACCCTAAATTTTCCTCCATTCGTCTGATGAAGTTGACCGGTTTTATCATCACACGCTGATCAGATACACCAGAAAGCATCTTCCTTGCTTGACAACTTGAGTTATATATCTACTGCGTTGAAATCAACTGCCGTATATCCCAGTATCCAATGGGTATTTCCTACATGTTGCATTACAGGCAGCGAGTGTACCTGCAAAAGACTGTGACCCCAGGTTTCCAGCGTGTGTATATGCAGTAGGTCTTGACCCTAGGCTTACAGCCTGTGCTTAACTGTTTCCAGAAAGAACGGATCAGAGAGAAGTTTGTTGCTGCTCTACAGAAGGAGTTTGCTGGGCGGGGGCTGGTGTTCTCTATAGGTGAGCGATTTTCCAGCAGGTGGGGGTGTTGTGCTGTCTAGGAGGTTCAGCTGCTCATGTCTTCTGTGCGCCAGAGACAGCTCTTCAGGAGTGTGAATGGAGAACATCAACACTGCTGCCAGTGGTGTAAAGTGTTCTCTCCGGGTGTCCTTGTGATTCACTTATCTAAGTACAGTTTAATCAAAACAGACTTACAAATTAGACAGACAGAGGTCAATAGATAGACCTTGAAACAAATGCATTGCATTTATACCCTTTGTCTATTTTTTGTATTGCAGCTATTATTATAAATTATAATCATTGCAGTGTTTTAGTCCTACATTGTGTAAAAGTGAATGACTTCCTATATGATTCTGTTACTGCTATTTTCTTCTGGTGTAATTCATGATGTAGTGTTCCATTATTTCATTTAGAAAACTGCATCTTTCTCGCTACATTAATTCAATTGAATTTATTTTTATATAGCGCCTTTCACAACAAGGTTGCCCCAAGTCGCTTAACAATGCAATAAGAAAGCAGTAATGCAGCTGTTGATGTGATGAGAAGAAATAGCTTAATTTGTGGAAGGTTTTAACTTTATTTTACAATGATTTTTTCTGTTTTCTGCTCGCAAGGAGGACAGATCAGCTTTGATGTTTTCCCTGAAGGCTGGGATAAAAGATTCTGTCTGAGCACTCTGGAGCAAGAAGCCTATGAGAAGATTCATTTCTTTGGGGACAAAACCAAACCAGTAAGTGATGCTGAACACCAAAGTATTATAACAGTGCAACTTGCTGATTCTTTTCCATAATGCACAATAAAACCCTGATAACGTCTTGGCTGGGGAAAAAAAAGTTAATTTTCATATTTCGACGTTTTTCCTTTCCTTTACGTGTGCCATCATGTAAAAGGAAATAGAAAAAGATTTTCAGGAAGATAAAGCATGAAGGATTATCCAACACAGCTTTTGTGCTAAAGTGCAGCCAGTAAGATGGTTTAGTTTCCTGAAGCAGGACTTCAGCTCCTGCACTGTCTCTGTTGACAGAACGAGGGGATTTTCTGACCTGTTCCGTTTCTTTCAAAGGGGGGCAATGACTATGAGATCTACATGGACCCCAGGACCATCGGCCATGAAGTCTCCTGTCCGGAGGACACAAGGCGTCTCTGTGAGGAGCTCTTCTTCAAGTGATGCCCCAGCGTAGCCCTCCGTGCCAGTGAAAATCACAGTGGATAGACTTGAATGTACTGTAATTATGAGAACCTCTTAATTCATACCTTTAATTCCCTCCTCCCTGGGCTGAAGGATGTTCTGGAAGTGTATTTAAGCAGACAGGCTGGAATCGTGTAGGGTTTGCGTTACAAATAACTATATACCTTAGCTATTTTTACCCAAGATTTATAGGCATTGAAGTTATGGTATCTACCTCATAACATCCTTTCTTAACGTTTTTTTTTTTTTTTTCTTGAGTTCCCGGCTTTTTTGTTGGTTATTCCTTTTTGTTCAAGGTTTTTTTTTTATAGCTATATGAAAATTATAGGCAGGTGGTTCAGTAGAACGTATGTGCAACGCATATATCCCACAAGGCCTCCTGCTCTCATGACAAAGAACCAGTAGACGTGTCTGATGTGACCTTTTTTCACTCATGCTGCTGTATGACCTGATCTGTTGATGCCATTTTCCTGCTGCAGAGGATTCCTTGTGGTCAGTGGTGGCAACTAGTGTCTTCATGTAGGAGACAAACAGTCACCATTGTTTCTAACTGGTGCGAACTGATTATAGTACTAACGTGCAGGTCAGCCGGACTGTAATTTAACTCATCTTTTTGAACAGGTCTGATTTTTAAACCATTCAGAATATTTGGCCTTTGGAGACGGTAAGAATAATTTCACTAGAAGGCACTGCAGCCCAAAGTGACTGTCCTGCCACTAGAGCATCAACAACTGAGTCACTGACAGCAGGGCCCTGGGTTGACGTCTCTTCTCGAGGACGAAAACCACAGCCCTGTCTGCAGAAGCCGCTATTGAATTGCATATTGACATCTCGAAACGCTTTGTGAAGTAACTCGTCACAGAACCGAAATGATGGAGGCCGCACTGCACCTCTTCCTAATGCAAAAATCTTGGCTTACAGTTCCGGTCAGCCTGCACACTCATTGCACGATTCATGAACGCCAACCTGCTGAGCAGTCAGTCTGTGTCAGCTCCTGGGCTTAACAAGCACAAGACCCCGGCTGCTGAAGATCGCAAACATCGCAAACATGGAGAAAACCTGGGATTCAGCTTCTTTGTAGTCTGACTTCTTAATGGAATCAGAACTCAATGCACCAAGATCATTCAGGCCTTGCCATCTTCTGCAGCTGGAATAGACAAGCCTGTTAAAACCAACAGGCTGTGGTCTGTTTCCGTGCAGAATACACTGCAGTTTTAGCAGGGGCTCCAGCCCTCTCTGCAATCAGTTAGCTTCAGAGCAGCGTCTTAGACAAGCTGTTGTATTACTGCTGTTCCTGCCCTAGGCAATCAGAGTCACTGCTCTGCCGGTTCCGCTGCCTTATCTGGTGAACAGCATCAATAGGAGCAGTATGGTACAAAGCCCTTCTACTCCAGGAAGTCAAGTCATTTGCATAAGCTAGTTGTGGGCAGAAAACAAGACAGCATTGTAGTACACAGCCCTCCTGTTTCTGGGATTGTAGGTTCCTTATTTCATGAGAGCAGTATGCCAATACTGAAAGGCGCACGGCCCAGTAAATTCTACAGTTGAATTAAATGTCCTGTCGATGTTTCGGATGTGTGAAAACGCATGATTGCACAGCTGCTGGATCACAAAGCAACAGTTCAGTTCTTGGATTCAAATGGTTGATTTTACGCAGAAATCATGAAGTTAAATCATGTGCTAATCTGTCATACTTAAACCATTGAACGTGTCCGTCCTTTTTGGGGAATTTCTTTGTACTGTAGGTAGTGGGCTTGTTCAGTCTAATCTTTGAAGCTTGGAATATATTCTTGATGTCAATTTCAATTTTGTTGTCGTTGAAACAGACTGTAGGCAACATGCATTATTGATAAGAATTTTGCCTAATGTCCATAGTTGCTGACTTACACAATAAAAGCCTTTCTAAAAAGCAAAGCCATTTGCAAAATGCTTGAGTGACATGCAATTATTTGTAGGTTTCCTCAGTTTTTCTAACAGTTCACAAATGTGCAAGGCAAGGAACATATTTTGCAAAGAATTTGACCGATTTTGTGTCATTTAGTTTTTAAAGCATTCTAGATTAAAGAGACCTGTATCCCTCCCCATTCAGGAAATAATGCTCACAGAAAAATGCAATAGCCCTTCCATACGATTGATTTGCTTTAAGAATGCTTGAAAATACATTTCTAATTAGTTCATGTTTTCATGCCATTATTATTATTGATGGATGCTAGACCTTGTAACATTTAAAAAGCAGAGCTGTAATTACTCAAGATTTTTTAAATGCATGCAAACAATGCAGATGACAGTACAGAAAAAATATCCAGGGGGCGAACACAGTACTTCATTTGCAAGCTGACTTTATTCAAACCACTGCATTCATAGTATTTCACAGAGCAATGCTTTAACTCTGCTAGAATGAAAGAAAACTTAAGGCTAGGTAAACCTTTCCACAAAGAAGATAGTTAACAGCCCTTTAACAAAAGAGCAAAACTGGTCATACAATCTGCAGATAATATACTGATGTACTTGTAGCTGTATAAAGGGGTTTACTCCTCTACTAAGAGAGAAACACAACACTTTCTTTTGTCATTTTTCAAACAAAGCACACTGTTCAATTTTAATTTTTTAAATTACCTCCCTCAAGTTATGGATACAAAAGGAAAGATGCTTGACTATCTGACTTTCTTGGGGCCCTTAACCCAATATTCAGGTTAACAAGTAGTTTAAGAAAAACTGGAAATGTATTACCAATTACTAGGCAATGCAGAGTTTTCATTATGACACGTGAACTGAAAGCACATGTCAGAAAATAGTACTCTGATAATAAGCCAGATAAGCAGAGAAACCCAAAGAACTTTAAAAACAAGGTAATACTTTGATGTACACCAAGAGCTTGATGGACAATGGCAGAAATCAATTCAAGAAAGGGGTGATGGTGAACAACTGTGAAAATAACACCTTTAGTGCTTTCTTATAGATAGCGAGGGCTGTTCTAAAAGTTTCCATTAGCTTTCTTTATATCCATTTCCAGAAAGCATCCACTTGGGAGCAAGACAAATAAGACTGTTCCCAAAGGTAAAACACATTTGGAATGGCTATTCTCAGAGCTACAGAAAATGGGAAAGGGCAAAGATATTTTGAAGGAAAAAAAGAGAGAGTAAAGCCTACATTACAGTACAATAAGTCGAATTCTACCAAGCAGGGTAGGAGATTAGTCGGGGGCTGAACCTGGGGAACAGCAACATTAAGAAGTGGACTCCCCTCATGGAAATCTCACGGTCAGTTCTAAATCTGGTCCTGAAAGGCACATCTTGCAAAAGGCCGAGATTGCACATCTAACTGGGCTGTACAAAATCCACAAGGCGTGGTCAGTCTTCCAAGCCTACTTGCGCTGGAGAAAGGGCTTCGGGATGAAGGTCTGAAGTAAAAAAAAAAACATTTTTTTTTTAATTCGATTTCTTACTCTGCCATTTCTCAGAAAGATTTCTTCACTCCGTCGCGAGTTTACACATCCGCTCAGTGGCAGCCGCCCAGATCCCAGGGCTGGCTGTGGAGACCGACGTTCCTCCGGGCTGTGGTTAAGAACTGACCGCTGTCCCTGACCATGTCTCGTGCTTCGCTCCCGGTGCCAGGTGGGTGATCTTGACCTCCACGGCCTGGACCTTCTCATGCTTGGGTGGGATGGAGCAGAGCTTGTAGGTGACCTCATCGCCCTCCACCAGCACATACTCTCCTTCGATACTGTGGAGAGGGAAAAGAGGGTTTGAGACCGCTCGAAGCGAGGCTGGGCACCTTGCACCTCTGTTGAAGCTGAATTTCTTTTTCTGCTTAAAAAAAAAAAAGCAACAGAGCCATACGGAACGTCACTTTGCAACCCAGACTGAAGTTTGTGCAGCAATTCAGTGACCTTTGCAGGTTTTTCAGTACCGTGAAACTACCATATCCTTTAAAGTGCTCTAGATCAGACTACAAGGTCTAAAGTCTGTCCCCCCCTCCAAAAAAAGTGTTGGAGATGGGAAACTGTACCCAGGTTAAAGGAAGAAGGAAGGAGGGCATTATGTGCTTCTAACATCACGATGAGCACACGCAACACGCAGCACAGGCTCAGGGGACTGGCAGAGGTGTAGGTTCAAGGATGGGCCCCTCTTTGTATGCGGCTCTGACTGCAGAGCCCACAAGCCCGCTCTTGAAAGGAAAGGCTCGTCTGGTTTTTTTGCTGCAGCTTTCCTCACCTCGGAGGAAGGGGTGTGTGGGGGCTGAGAGGAGGACCTGCATATCCTCACCATCACCCCCACCCACACACTGCCCCCTCTTCACAGAGGTCCCCATGGGATGACCCTACAACTATCAACTAAAAACGGTTAAATTGATCCGGCACCTTGACTCAGTCCCTACACCGATGCCCAGAGACTAGGAAGTACCCTTCTACGCCTGCACAATCCTTCAAGCAGAACTCATGAGGTCTCTTGCCAATTCGTTGTGAAGTCCGGCTGCGTTAGGTCTTGTGTATACTCCTACTCCCGGCCCACAGGCGGTCCCCACATGGGCTCCTTGCCGTAGTCTGTAAGCGAAATGAAACTGTCCGCCGGCTGCTTACTCCGAGATGTGGACAAAGATGTCGGCGCCGCCGTCGGCCGGGGTGATGAAGCCGTGACCCTTGGATCGCGAGAAGCACTTGCAGACGCCGGGGAACACGGGGCCCTCCGCGGCCCGCGCCGCCCTGCGGGAGGAGAGGAAAGGCCTTCGTTAACGCCCGGCTCCCGTCTCTCCCCCTGGCGGCTGAGAAGGACCAGGAGGAATTCAATACCAATCCAAAACAATCCCGAAACTAGGATCACACCTTCCCCCTTCTCTCACCGACAGACTCGTTTCCTTCTAATCCTCTCTATTTATTTGCAGGTTTCGACTTCACACCTCTCTCGACTTCACACCACCTGAGTGCCCACTCTGCCTCCCCCTTGCTCTCGCCTCCCCTCCACTACCGGCTTTTGTCCTCCCTTGCTTTATCAGCTGCTGACGTTCCTCTCTTTCTCACAGCTCCCTGCTTGAACTACTATAATTCCCAAATCACATACAACCTTAGAAACTTCAACAAAGTCATGTGAGGCTTTTTATCATCCAGGTGGGGCTGCACATTGATGGCGGTGGAGGGGATCCCCATTACCTGTGAAGCACTTTGAGTGGAGTGTCCAGAAAAGCGCTTTATAAGTGTAAGCGATTATTATTATACATTCAAGCAAGGAAAAGGCACAAACATTAGTTATTTAATGGATGGCGTACCCATGAACTTTCCCGTTAAGATCAGCAGTGTTTGTTTTAAGTGCTGCTGATGGGAGACCGCAAACAGAAAGGTGGCTGGTGGTCTTCTTGCCTAACTTTGACACCCTACTCCAACAGGGAACACTGCAGTGATCTGGGGGAAAATGTTACCCAGGACGCTAACGGGGAGCTGGCCGGGGGGGAGGAGGGGTACTCACGCCGAGCAGGTCCGAGACCGGCGGGTGGGCAGGGGGCTGGGGATCAGGTAGCCCCGCATGGGCGAGGGGGAGCGGTCCCGGGGGCGGCCCCCGTCCGGCAGGCGGAGAGAGCTGGGGGAGAGGGGGGACAGCGGGGACGAGGGACAGGGGTCCTGCCCCGGAGATGGCGGCTCGGAGGACATTCCCAGAAGGGCCTCCCGCCTCGGCTGTTCCCGACCGGAGTCCTGGTCCTGCGAGAGACTGCAGCGGGAGAGGAAAAGGGTCCGATTAGACGGCAAAGTCCCATACACCTTCCCAAGGGCAACACCAGTACAAACATCCACACAGGAGACGTACCCAGAACGTCTAGAACTCTCCAGCCCATGACCACACATTCGTCAGCAGGGGCAGTTATCTGGGCACAAACACGGACAGTTTGTCCCCTCTCCATCTAGAGGACCTGCGAACGGCACCAGACCTGATGACCCACCTCCTCTCTCTTGGCAGGGAGGCTGATGTTTGCTTTACTCGCGGGACGCCTCTCTCTCTCGTGACTCGGCATGCGATGGCGATTCAATGAATCAGATGATCCATGGACTGGATTGGAGAACCCAGGGCCTATTGTAATAGGTGGATCTATGCAGCAGCAGCTGGTGATGGCAGAGCTCAAACTCTAACCCCTGCAAGTTGCTATGGGATAGAAGTGTCATCCAAGTGACCAATTATTAATTCAGCTGGCACTTTAGGACTCTACAAACTACAAACAACTGGCAATGCACATTTGACGTATATGAGCCAGACTAACACAGGGGCAGGGAGGTTGAATGATGTACCTCATAGCAGGCTGTGGCCACTGTAAGCTAATTTAGGCATGTTGCACAAGGTTTTGCTGTAGGGCATCCTAACCTTTACAGCATTACGCACAGCACAGAGGTTCAGCAGCTAAAACCAGGCCAGCACTCTCCTACAACCCACTTCCATGGCAACCAACCGGTTTATCAGGGTCCTGTCCCTGGATTCAGTTCAGTTCTGGGCTGTAATGGGACAGTGCTGCTCTGATCCCTCAGTCCAGCAGGGCCAGCAAGGAGCCCAAGATGGAGCTGGCTCTCCTGTTTCCGGCAGAGGTAAACAAGACCCTTCTATCCTATTACACAGCTCCACGCTAACACCTCATGCACAGATCAGGAAGCTCCCCATAAGGAAAACAGGGATGGGGGAGGGGAGCTGAACAGAGACATAAAAGGAACATCATCGCTTATCTGAAGAGCCTGATTTTTCATCCCAGACCACATAAAATAAACCGGCCGGCCAGTTCTCACTGTTACCCTTACAGAATTCTAATATGTGTGGAAAACTGATGCGGTACAATAGTAATAGCACATTCTTCCTCCTGGATCCTGGAAATATATCCAAGAGCAGACGTGCTATGGGAATTAGGCTTGAAATACAGATTGGGGAGACAAAAACACACACACACACACACACACGCACACACACACACAAATTGATCAGTCAGGACTGCTGCAGCCTGGAAAGACCACTGTAATCAGTTCAGCCCCCTGGCAGATGACTAATCACGCAGAGAAATCAAATCAAGTCGTGCAGGTCGAAGCAGAATCCAATCTCAAGCGCAGACAGGACCAGTGGGTGCAGCCTCCTGCATCCCTGCCCGGCTCAGGTTTCCCACAGCCGTGACGAATGGGCTCAGCACAGCGCTGCCTGTTGCTTTGCAGGTTCCTGCTCACACCACACAGCTCTGCTCCCGCCCCGGTCTACAGAGGAGGTGGAGGGGTACCCGAGACGTCACCTAGGGCATAGGGCCTCCTGTCATTCCGAACACTGACGTTCTCCGGCTCCAAGCAGCAGAGACCCTAACCTGGGGATAAACAGGAATCGCCAATTGATCTGCTCAACTTACGATAACTTCACAAGGCTTCTCTCCTCCCCTCCCGGCACTGCTTGTTTTTTTTATTGGATGGATATTCCTCTCCCCGTTCCGGTGAGTCAGGAGGAAACTCGCATCTGTCAACCCGAAACTCATTCAAAACCTGTCCCCTGCTGATCTTCTCCTGCGACACCACTGAAAGTTGTGCACGTCTGATGAAAACCTGTGGAAACAACCCACACTTCCATCCACTCACAGGAGACACACAGAGGCCCACGCTGGGACAACGATTACAGCATAATGCCTTGGCTCAAAGGTGTGTGAGCGCAGCCGGTTCTTCTTTTAAAGGTTAAGTACCAGAAGCTGGGGGTTTAACGCCCTGTAAACACCGTAAGCGCTTGTCACTTGGCCCGCCGCCTGGGTTTTCTTGGCGTGCGCTTCGTTTCGCAAAGAGGACCCCACCCACAGCCAAAACGACGGGACCGCCCCCCCCCCGGCTCAGCTGCGGCCCCCGCGGGGTCACGGCGTCGCACTCGCGGAGAAACGCAGGGCTGGGCTGAGTCCTCCAAGTCGCACAGCCAGCGGGAAATACTCCACGCGATATCTGTGCCCCCAACCGGGCAACGCAGCTGCGGATATCACAGCCCCTACTGACCTTTCAGCTTCATCTCTGCACTATGCGACCCAGAAACCTTCAGGGACATCCTACAGGAACAGCTGATTTTATTGAGCTCATCAGATTCACTTCAACTGATGTCAGGGGTGAAGGGCATGTACATGATTTGAAATGTGATTGGTTAAATCTGAACACAGTTACAACCCCCTTTAAAAAGGGTGTGCACACTTATGCAACCAAGGCATTGAAAGTTTTTTTTTAATTATTTTTTTCCCCTAAAAATGATCCATTTGTTTTTTACTTCAATACTGTTGGTTACGAGATCTTATTAAAGGCGGAAAAGGGTCTGGCATTTGTCTGGATTTCAGCCTTGACATCACCAAAGGCTGAAATTTCAGACTCCCAGTTGGAGGTGATGACTGGGACACTGTCTCACACTCCAGGGAGACGGGACTCTCTCCTCGGCAACAGGTGGGCACACAACCCCTTCCGGCTACACACAATGTGCATCTTCCCGCACACCACACCATCAAAGCACAACTCCAAAGTGTGAAAACAAAATGTGGAATGTGGAAAGGGTAAAGGTAAAGAACAACAGACACGTTTCAACTCGTGCCAGCTGGCCAGGACGAGGACATAGGCAGCCTGGGTTGACGAGCGGTCTGAGGTTCAGCCTCTCCCAAATGTAACAGGCATTGTTTGGACTGGAAAAACCTGAAAGATGTTATTATGGCAATTAAGGCTCAGCCAAGGTAGAAATTAAAATCCAAACCACCATGACAACGCTTGGGATCTTGGAGTCAGGGCACGTGGAGCAGTGCTGAAGGGTTCAATGCCATTATCCGACAGTGATCGCCTCTTAACTTGCTCAGCTTCCATTACATTTGTGGAATATTTCAGCACATTTCTTACGAGCCACACTGTTAGAATAACACAAATACCAATCAACATCAGCAAATGAGGAAGTTCTTTTCGAAGGTGGAGTTCCATGGTGGTTATAACTAAAGATCCACACTACAGTACAGCCATGTGCACTTCCTGACATCTTATCAGTCCTGGTTAGGAATCTGATGTCGTGACCAGCACTGCAGTCCTGCCAGCTGGCAATGTCTCAGCATTATCCAGACCAGCTGGGACACCGGAGAGCACTGCTGTCTGCTCCAGCTTCAACCCTTAAGGGAACAACTCAAGCTGCACCAAGAATCTGCGAAAGAGACAGAAGAATCTTGCAATCTCCCGCTCAATCCAGTAATAATAGCAATAATCTGCATCCTCATCGCCACCACAGCCTGTTTTAACAGCTCTAGCATCCTGCTTGACACACTTTATCCTTTGGAGCAAAGATTTCATCAAAACGCTGCATGAAGCGCAGTTAATGGTCCAAAAAAGACTTTATGCCACTGCTCAAAAGTTCTGTGAGGCCGGGAGCACAGGCAGTGGAGCAGGCAGGGCTCTGGACTCGGAATCGGAACCCAGCTGTACAAAGGTATACAAGTGGAAGTCGGATAAAAGCTTCAGCCATTATTTTGTATGACGCATCAGAATGCCGACTGCCTGGATGATTCTCTTACAGCACAGAGACAGTGTGGACAAGGGGAGCTGCTGACTGGCACATTCCTGGGTGAAAACACAGCCACAGAAAAAGCCATTGTCCAGTTCCAGGCACACTCCACTGCTTTCCAAACCGGGAACATTCCGGAAACCCTTCTCATTAGGGGCCAAAAATCATAAATGACAATATAAAAGCAGTGACAAATGTGAGGATAATCAACAACTTCTTAGTAATATGGTAGAATCCTCTCCTAACGACAATCACCTGCACCACACCCTCCCTCAAGGGTGATTTTGAGAGGGCAGCTTGTTCCAGATATATTTAATTAAAACACTAAACGCTGTATTTTTCTCCATTTATTGTGTCATTAATCAACCCCTAAATGTAACCTGCCCTATAAACAAACTCACCTCTCACTCCAGAAGTACTTTATGATGACACGTGACTAAATCTAGTTTAAAACCGACACCATTGGTCGAAGTCAATCGCATGATTACTGCATTTCGAGGCACGTCGAAGCCATTTCCTATCTTGCAGAAAACAGTTTGTCATTTAGTACATGTTATTATAAAATAACTTCTATCCATCGTATGTTGGCTTTTATAATGGAAATGTGTTATCTTGAGGCCTGTATCTACCTGAAGCCGAGCTGTTAGCAGAGTGTTGACCCTGAGCAGTGGAGATCAGATTTCCACTGGCACACGCGGGCAGGAAACACATGGAACTCCCTTCCTGTTTGAAGCCTGAAACAGCCACGGGAGGGTGGCGTCAGCACTTCAGAGTGCAAACACACCAACTCCATTCCCAGCCACCGAACGCTGCTCAGCAATGAGCTGGAGGTCTTGGATTTCCCGGCTAGCCCAGGGTGCCACACTGTACGCGTGGAAAGGACTCACGAATTTTGAGAAGTATCCACATTTTCAATCCTTGCCATTCTTTCTGACCAGGGGTTTCTCTCGCTTAGAGCTCTTCGGTGTTCCTCACTGCCAAACTGGCTTGAGAATAAGGAAGCAAAATCTTCTGGGACACAGAGTGATCTACAGTAACACATGGACACATCTTACAATAAAACAAATGTTTACGCAGGTCAGGAAAAAGAAAAAAACACTTGCAGGCAGCTCCAAAGCCCCTAGGACATGTCTGAGTCTACAGCAGTGCGCAGCACATCTACCACTGCCGAGACGCTTGTGTGTACAGTGAAAACATTGGCATGCATCACGCATGACTTATCAATCAGTGCTCATCTGGACCTTTCCAGAGCTGTGATCCAGGCTGATCAAGGCTGTCCAGCGTAGAGTTTCTGCAGATGATACATCTTTAATAGCCTAAAGGCCACCTGCAGGATAGATTTGACCTTGCTCAGTCTGAGTGAAGTTACCAAAGGGGCTTCTGCAAGCTAACAGACGTTCCCTCAGCAGATGAGGCACACTGATGTTCAGAAGACTACAAACCGCAAGTTGTACATTTTTACCAATTGATATAGAAAGATCTATACCCACCAGCAGGTAGTGAGAAGGACCCTGAAGCACAAACAGCACATAGCTCAGCTCCAGGCAGTCTGGCCTGCACCCAGCTGTCAGGCAGCGATTGACTGTGGCCACCAAACCTCACGACCAGCAGCAGGGTTGGGCTCCCCTACCTCTCCATCGGGCTCCAGAGAGACGCAGCCTTGTGAGGGAAGCCCACAGTATGCAGAAAAGCTGCCAAAACTCCCCAAAGGTGAACAAAGTGTTCCATCAAACTCCTGCACCACAAAACATAAACAGAAAAAAATGAGTCCCTGTGGCCGGCTGGCCTTGAAGTGCTGTTGACTGTGAAAACCCATTCTGCCCTTCCTAGCAACTGTAGCAGGCTGCCTTGGTCTTGAGTCCACTCCACTCCCTCTCTCACTTTCATTCTGACATCCAAAGGACCTTGAGGACAACTGCCACGTAACCAAGGAGGGGAATGTTCACCTGGAGGCCTTGCGAGAGACTTTCTGCCAGGCCACCCCTCGACACCAGCAGTGCTTCTTACTGCAACACTCTTCACCAAGTCACCCATGCTCATGCCTGGCGAAGGGGGGGATGCATCATGAAGGTGTATTTCAAATTCAGTCCTACATCAATCCATCAACTACATCAAGGCTAATAACAGCAGAGATCCGGACACACTGAAAAGCATCGCGCGGGACTCAATTAGAATCAACTGGACCACACAGCATCTCAACCTGCCTCCTGCTTAACTGGGACAGGCCCCGGGATGCTTCTTCGCAGGAAT